CATGGGAAGGAATCATGAAAAATTAACTGTAGAATATGCATTTTTGTTTGGGAACAAAACTCATTCTGACGCCCATTTTAAAAAATTCCAGTGATTTCCCCTTGCAGATTCTACCCTATATATTCCATTGCAAATTTGAAAGGTGGCTGGAATAGTTGTATTTTGAAATATTACTCTATCACAATGGATATTAGAGTTGGGACTGCCCTGAAATAGGTTTCCCTCAAGGATGCTGCTTTTGCATCCATGCTTCTAATCTCTGTTGGCAGGAACTCAACTTTTCAGTAATTTCTGTGATTTGGAGCCAACATTGAGTTTCAGTTGAGAAAATGTTGATGTGAAAGTAGAGCTTTCAAATTCCTTCAGAACAGCGCTGATGTTCTTCCTCTTCTCTGACATTACAACAATAACATTTCATTCTTAATACAAATGGCTTTGTTTTCCTGAGCATACACTTTCAATTCCAATTTGTCAGTGTAAAATATATGGGAAAATGTAACACACGAGACAATATTTGTCAGGAACAAAGAACAAAAGCTTTGTTGTTAAGATTTTTTCCCCTTGGAACACTCCATAATGTTTTCAGAATGACATATTTTAAAGGGTCTCAATTTAGGGTGGCTGCATAATTTGAGTGTTTGTTAATAACATATGCAAATTATATGCTTTTCAGCCACAGAGTGCAGAAAAACAATTTGCCCTAGTCTAGCTTCACCCAGGCACCCTGTCAATTGCAAACCCCCTCCCCCCAGAAAACTACCGATATACTTTATACTGCTGTTACCAAGTAGGGCAGATTTAGTATGATAAACATGGCACCATTTATTTTACATTGTATGGTTAAAATATATGCACCACAGTTTCATGCATTTCCACAGTAAAATTTACAGAATAAAAATAATTTTAATGGAATTAGTATAAATCACCTTTCACAATAAAATTAGAAAAAGAAACAAATGGATTTTAGCTACATATTTTTTAATGAAATCAGAGTAAGATATTGAAAAATTCAACTCATCTTAGATATGGGTGCTAAACATTGACAAAATTATGGAACTAAAGCCAAAGCAGTTCTAATGGATGCTTGTTTAAAATGATTTCACAACAGGACAAATACATTCCAGTATAGATTTCTGTAATACACAAGCTTTGTAGTTCAGCTGAGCATTCCATGTATAGCATTCAAAGTGGAATGGTTTCATTGTGTTCAATATGACTTAATTAATGTAAAGCCTCCAAAGATGCAGGGAAAATGAGGTACATTGCCCCGCTTCTCTGGTAACAGGACAAGACACTATGACAGGTCTCTCCAACATTTTTGCATCAGTGGTACAATTGGAATTTGAGAAAATATTATGGGCGCAATCACAAAATAGCTATCATAGCAACAACTGGTGGTGATAAAAGGCAAGTAACTTGTCTCTCTGGGTTCATGTGGGTCTCACAGGTATTCAAGACAGTACAAATGGGAGGTGACAAGAGCATTGTTGGCCACTCAATTGTTGTCCCTGGGTTCTAGTATCAGTTCTTCCATGTGGTCTGCAAACCAGAAGCCTACCTCTTTTATTCACGTATGTTTTGAAGCTTAAAAACCCTATTAAAGGGTAGGCTGCTACTGTCCATGGGAATTCAGTCCATGACTATTGTGGCCCCCCGCCTCAGCTACCCCCTCCTCTTCCTAGGGAAGGCCTAAGACTGCCTAAGACACTTTGCTGCTTAAGGCAGAGAACAAGATGATAGCCACCCTTCCACTGCAAGCTCAAAAGCAGAGCAGACTGGCAGTTGCAGCTTACATCAGTGCTGGTGATGGGGCAGCCTCCTCCACTATACTTGAGAGCAACTGGATAGCTTAGGACAGTGGTGGTGAACCTATGACACGCATGCCCAGCGGGCACACAGGGCCCTCTTTCGGCATGCGAGCCAAGTCGCCCCAGCAACCAAGCATCAGATTAACAGTGCACATAGGGGCCATGCGCATGCTTGGAAAGGAGTAGTGTGCCAGGTGATGATGTCACAAGCCGCGACACATTAGCCACGACTCGACTGAGCTTTCGCATGGCTGGTCAGTGCGCTGCCAAGGATATATATACATTTGCTTGGACTGGCTGTGAGTTGTTTTTTCTAAACTAAAACCTCAGTATTCGGGTTTATTGCAGTGTTGGCACTTTGTGATAATAAGTGGGTTTTGGATTGCAGTTTGGGCACTCAGTCTCTAAAAAGATCACCATCACTGGGTTAGAATTAGAAAAATGAGGTGTCCTGGCATGATTTTGATGGTTGGAATGTATTTAGAATGGGCAGAAATGATGAGCTGTGCAGAAAAAGCTACTCAAGGAAGGCTTTTTCAAAATCGCACTCTTTTCAAAATCCCCCCTTTCAATGGTATTTTACCCCTATATTAGGGTTAGGGAAGTGCACCAGGGTAGGGTTAAAGCCTTCTCTGTTGCACCAGCATTGCCCTAGCAGCCCAGCATCAGATAATAGCACACATAGGGGCCACATGCATGCTTGGAAAGGAGTAGCGGTGCCAGGCAATGACATCACATGCTGTGACTCCTTAGCCGTGACTTGTCCGAGCTTTCGCATGGCCGGTTAGTGTGCTGCCAAGGATATATATATATATATATATATTTGCTTGGCTGTTTTACTGGTTTGATGTCACCAACTCTGTTGCTTCTTTGCCTGTCCAGCAAAGACCACCAGGGTTTGAAAAAACACTTGGACCTATAGTTCCTGAGAGAGATTTCATGGAGTGTGGCTCCTCTCTTCAATCTCTCTTCCTTTATAGCTGTGCGTTTTCTAAAGCACCAATAGCTCACTTAAGTTTAAGAATTAATCTTCTGCTACAGCAAGAACTGGATAGACTTAAATGGCATTTTCATGGGAAACCATTAAGTAAAGTGCATTTTGTTCTTCTGAAATAAAAGTGAACTTAGCTTTATAGGAATTCCTCAGCAGAGGGCTCCACTGTTCCTGATTAAAATCTGGAAAAAACCCCCCAGCTTCCTGACACCTGGTGGTCAAAATACACAGATATTTATACACTAAGAATATTTCTGCAAGAAAGATAATAATGAAATTTTCAAACATCAAAAAAAATATCCACTGATCATTGTTGCTAAAATGGTTGTTCTTTCTTTTTCACAGACTGGACCTAAGCTTAGGAGGAGGTAATTTGAGCCAAAATAATCCAGCATCTTTAAAAATGTATGAAAAATAGTTTGCATCTCCAGGATTCAAATAAAGCTACTACCACTCTCCTTAGAAAAACATCTCATTGCCTCATCTTATGAGGCAGCAGGCTGTAAAAAGTACATACAGTCCTGTAGAAACATGCATGTAACTAAATTCTTGAACCCTTAGCTTTCTCTTTATTGAACAGCAAAATATGGCAGAGATATTCACTTGAAAGGATGGCTTAATGGCATTTTTGTTAATGCATCTGTATTATTGCCCTAATTAGCAAGAACTAGTTTATTGCTCACTGCAGTGAAAGAAAAGCAAAAGCACAGGGTACTCTCATTTTGAAGTGGATCAGACCAAAACATCTACCTAGTTGAATATTCCATTTTTAAAAGTAGTCAGGCTGTGTATTCCAGTAATCACAAATGGAGCATTATAAAGTAGTTCCAACTGCTTCTGAACGTGGAAGTTCCGTTCAATTGTCACTGTGGCTGAGGCACTGGTTGATCTATTTTCCCTGAATGACTCCCTGATCTATCCTCCCATCAAATGAGAATCATCATTATGGCACAATGACAGCTTGTGGCAATTAAACTTTAATGTTATCTTAAGAGTGCTTGTGGCACACAAGAGCTATAATGAGTGGATTTAAATATTTTAAATACTGAGATTAATTAAAATACAATGCTATGCATGTTTAGACAGGAAAAATGCCTAGAACTACTGGGCATGCTGCCAGTTGCAGGCATCTCTACATGTTTAAATGCATAATAAAAAACTGACCAGATGTTACTCCCCCTCCCCACCAACTAAAGAAATTAAAACCTTACCCAATAGACACCATTTATAAGCACAGGCCACCAGAAGGAAATAAATAACTTGTTAAAGCTGGCCACCTTCTTCTCCTGCCTTGACTACAAGATGTGGGGCTTGGTGGCTTGGACGCCAAACCCGTTTATTTAAAGCATTTTTATGCCGCCCCCTTTGCAACAAGCCTCGGGGCGGCTTAGATCCAAGCTCTTCATTGTACCCTCTCTTAATTACTTTCTGCAGCACCTGAGTCAACCTGTCTCCAGATCTCTTGGACTGTAACTGACAGCACTACTTCGGGGCTGTCTTAACCTTGCTCTTCTGTCATGCAATATCAGCCCCCTTGGTCTCAAATGTGTACGTGTTTACTCAGGAGTAAATGGGACTTACTCTCAGATAAGCATGCACGGAGGACTGCAAAGGGAAGCGCCCCTGAGGACAACGCGGCTTACTTCTGAGTAAATATATACAGGGCTGCACAATAGGAACGGGATATTAACAGGAGGTTCGGGAACAACCAATAAAATAGGAGCGCCAAATCTTTCCCCGCGCTAACGGATAGGGAGAGAAGGCGTTTCCTCCTTACCGGAATTACCATAACCATAGAGAAACGCGCTATCGCAGTCCTCACCTGCACTTCCGGCATGAAGTTGAACGGGTTTTCCACTCTTCCGTGGCGTTACACAATAAGCAAGGATTTCTCCATAAAGATGACATAGGCTAGAGCGACGCCACTCCACATCCGTTGAGAGTCGCAGCCAATAGAGCCGTTCCGTTTTTAACTCGTTTTTGGATTGTATTTCAGTCTGAAACTAAAGGTTTTCCACCTCTGCTCCTCCAGCAAACCTTGGTCCATCTAACCTCTTGGGTAATTCTAATCAGAGCGCGGCTTTTGCGATGGGGATCATAGAGCTAAAAAGAAAGTTATGGTTAAGTCTATGGCCGGAACTAGGAATGAGTATTCTGCGGAAGTGGAAGTTCTTGAGGGAAATTCGCGGGGTGGGGGCTGGCGGAAGTGAAAGGTCTCTACGTCACTTCCTTGCTTTTTCGTTTGGAGCTCTGGCGGGCACACGTGCTGCCCCCGAGTAATTTTTGCAGTCGCAGCCGCTCCTCGCCTGGCCGAGTTGCTATGGTGAGTTGTTTTTTCGAGGGGGGCCGAGGGAGGCGGGTGAGTCGAGTTGTACCGTGGATCTTTGAGTCGGAGAGGTGGGCGGCTCATTCACACCTAAGACTGGAGAGGAGCGGGAAGAAGGGAAACCATCTATTGGGAAGGGATCGTGATGGAGCACGTGTTTTAAGCCCCAGGGTCATGCCTCAACGTCTCCAGATGTTTTGAACTACACTTCCTAGCAGCTCCAGCGAGCAAGGGATTGTGGGAGTTGTAGTCCAAAACCTCTGGAGGGCACGCGATAGGGTATTTGTGCTCTGGGAAATACTGACCTGAAAGTGCCAGTGGCCTGATTCAAGCTTAAGTTTGCCGTCAAGCTCTGGAGGGGAGGAAGAGAAATGCGTTATAGTCGAGCTTGATGCTTGTCAGCAGTTACTGAGAACTTTTTATTTTTACAGTTTTCTGTTCTGATTAGGAAAGGAATAGGAACCAAAGCTGTTAGCCTCATAATGCCTTTGTATAAATTTGTGGAATTACTATACTTAGAACACTGTGCCCAGATCTGGTTACTGCATCTTGAAGAGGATGTTGCAAATTTGGAAAAGGTGGAAGAAATGATCTAGGGGCTAGAGGAAGGGTGAGAAACAGCTAGGTAGGTGGAAACCACATGAGGGTGCATAACCCTGCACCCAGTGCCATCCTTTTTGTGACTGAATGCTGGTTGGAACAGCAGTCAGAACTCTTATCAGGACTGTTTCACACCTTGCCAGGTGAGGCACAGGCAAAGCTATCCCAGCTAAGAGGGTGACTGGAGCATTACCACCACCTTGGTGAGGACCTGGCTTTGGTGCATGAGGATGGGCTTTTCCCTGCTGTGGAAATCTGCCATGCAAGCTACTCTGGCCAAGATGGGGAGTGGAGGATTAATTGTCCAGCCTACATCTTAGTTGGGGATATCGTTCCCCATCAGGGATTGGGGATGCAGAGCAGGGGAGGCACACTGCATACTAGGGATCCTGCTACCCATTTCTGTACTCAAGCAGCTTCTCTGTGTAGAAAGGTTACAAAAAATGGGGGTTGTAATTTAGGGGAAAAGAGGGAAATAAGGGAAGGGGCACATGGTAGTCATCCAGTGAAGTTGAATTGTGGAAGATTCAGGACATATTTTTATGATCACCAGTATAATCTTCAGAACTCTAGGCAGCATATGTTTGAATGTCAGTTGCTGGGGAGTCTTGAGTTGCTGAGGAAGCTGACTGAGAGTATGACTTTGTACTTACATTCTGCATGTGATCCAGTAGATTTAATATTCTTTTGTTTCACTCTTTCTTCACAGAGCTTGCCTCTTAATCCAAAGCCCTTCCTAAATGGGCTAACTGGAAAGCCAGTGATGGTGAAATTAAAGTGGGGAATGGAATACAAGGGTTACCTTGTCTCAGTTGATGGCTACATGAACATGCAGGTAAGCAAGGTTGGCAGAAAATTTTCTCAGATTACATGGTTACTACATACTTCTGTATCTAATGATCTTTATGGCTGTGAGAAAAGGTTTACTGTTCTGCTATGTTTGGGCTCAATATGGATCGGATTGAATAAGATGAACTATAATCCACATAAATCAGAGCTGTTGGTGGTTAGTTAAACTGGGATTGGGGATTTGTCATGTTTTGGAAGAACTACCCTTGAGAGATTAGTTAGTTTGGGAGTACTTTAGACCCAGCTTTGTTCCTGGATGCTCAGGTTCTAGCTATGATAGGGAGAACCTTTACTCACATAGTTATATACTTTCCTAGATAAACTAAATCTAGTGATTCTATACATGTGTACATTACTCTGTGAGGGGCTACTTCTGTAAAGCATTCAGAAACATCAAGTGTTCTGAAGCCCACTTCATTGATCACATTACTCCAGTCTTGTAGTGGCTTTTCAGGTTGCGACTCAAAGTGTTTATATGAAAATCTTTAGTAATGTTACAAATATTATTGCATTTATTTTTGATGAGATTAAGTTCTTTATAAAACTGCTTTGCATTTATGTATAAAGAGAATCATGGTAAGTTTTAAAAAATAAAATAAGGCTCTGCTCTTCCATTTCAGCTTGTCTTCCCAGTCTTGTATTATCATTAAATACTGCCATTTCTTGGAATGTTAATGACTGTGCTCTATAAGGGTTTCTGGTGAAAGGCTACGTGAGGAGGATGAAAGACTGTTGGAGGTCTTCTGCCAAAACTAAAAGGTGGAAAATAGTGCATTGGACCTAACAGCAAGCCATTCTAGAGAAATTACTATTTATAGGACCATTTTTTAATATTTGTAAAAAGTCAAAAAGAAAGTGGAAAAGGCAGTATGAAGCTTTTGTCCTTGTTTTAAAAAAACAACTCACAAATCTCAGAATAGAGACTGGTGAGTGCCAATCAATCTTACAGTATATATTAACCATGTAGAATATATGATCTTGAAATGCTGAATGCAATGGAAAGTTGCAAATAGTCATGCTGGTGATAGTGGGTGCCTTTTCGTTTGGATTTTATATTGTTCACTATTCGTTTCATTTAATGCTGTACTCTGCAGCTAATTTATATCTTATAATTACTCCTTAAACCTTTATTTAGAAGGAGCAGAAACCACTTCATCTGGCCAGCATGAAAATACATGCTTCTCAAAGATGTTGCCTCCTTGCCAGCAGTGTGGTGGGTGAAAGATGGAGTTAGCATGCTGTAGAGTCAAAGGGGAGGAGATTTTCTTGTAGTTGGCATGGAAATCAAGCAGCCTGGAGTGATCTGACCCTTCTCTGCCAGTTCAAGTCATTAAATATAAGGCTGCACAGATCTCTCATGAAAATTGCAAGAAGCGTTAAATGGTTGAATGATCAGAGAGCTGTACAGTTTACATTGATAGGAATAACTAACAACATGTCTTATTCCAAGTAGTTTAAATTAGAAACATAGAAACAGAGCAAGTCAGAATGGGTCTCCCGGGCCATTTAGTCTGACCCCTGGCTCCAGCCAGCTCCACTCACAACATGCCCACCATGTGCATGAATTGAACCACTGGGAGACATAGCCACAGTTTTCTCAAATAGTATGTTAACTGTTTTGTAAATAATTTGTGGAATGAATTTAGAATCATAACATTTTTAACTGTTACATACTTCTCAGTTCAGAAGCTATACAATGATTGAATTTATATTAGATTTTATGGCAGTTGTATAAAAATTATGTTGATATAAGAAGATATAACGCTGTACTCTCATAAAATTCTGTTAATTTCTTCTAAAGCTTGCTAATACAGAAGAATATATTGATGGTGCACTATCTGGACACCTTGGTGAAGTTCTGATAAGGTAACTAATATTGGCATTTAACAGCATTTATTTTCTGATGCAGATGAGCATGTGCTGAAATCATTAATTTTATAGTACTTGGATTACAAAAATTCTAATCTGCAAATTTTATGCTGCTAAAAATGCAAGTCTAAACTGTTTATCCTAAGATTAGAATACAGGTTTGATTTACAGTATTTTATTAAGCCTATTTAAAGAGCTGCTTTTTTCTCTTTCATGTAAAGAGTAACTTAGTGGTTTGGAATTTATGTAATACAGTGGTACCTTGGCTCGTGAATGCTTCAGTTCACAACCAAATAGGGTCGCAAACAGAAATTTCTGAAAAATTTTGCCTGGAGTCGCAAACTCCACATTGGGTGACGATTGCAATCGCCCTCCTCCCCGTGATCATGCTCATGATCACGCCTGCCTCCCCACCAGCACACCCCCTGATCGCGTCCACCTCCCCCCCGAGTGCTCCTGCAATCGTGCCAGCCTCCCCTGAGCGCGCCCGTGATCATGCCCACCTCCTCCGAGAGTGCCGCGATTGTGCCCGCCTTCCCCCTGAGCATGCCCACAATTGCGCCCGTCTCCCCCACCCAAACGCGCCCGCATCAAATTTTTGTGATTAAAGAAAATAGTTACATAACGGATTAACCTTATTTACATTGAACCTTATGGGGAAATTTGACTTGGCTCATGACCAATTTGGGTCACTGCCAGAGTCCTGGAATGGATTAAGTTCATGAGCCAAGGTACCACTGTAGTACATTCATGACAGCTTTTGGAAACTGAACTGTAAAATAAGGAGACATGTACAGTTAATGGGTAATGTGTGTTTATGACTAACTAAACATAACAAACATAGAATACTTTAAAATAACAGTATATGAAAGAGGTTGCTAAAACAAGCTTTAGAAAAATAGTGTTTAAAATTCTTTTGAATTCTAGCAGAAATAAGTACCTTTCGGTTTCATTTGTAGGTGTAATAATGTTCTTTATATAAGAGGAGTGGAAGAAGAAGAAGAAGATGGAGAAATGAGAGAATAGCTGTTTGTGGGAAACAATTCAAAATGGTGTTTAGATCTTTAACAGTAACTTTTTTAAGTTTTTGCAAGTGTAGCGTTAGTAAATATTTTTCTGTGAAAAGGACGAATATTGTTGTTGAAAAAACTATTGCTATGAAAAAATAAAGATGCTAATTCTGATCCTTTTTAAAACTGCGCCTTGTCTGATCTTAGTTCAACAATTGTTATTTTAAAAGAAAACTGGATCAAATCTATCCTGTCACAGTTGACCTAATATAATTTTGTTGAACTAAGCTAGAAGTAAGCCTGAAGCCCTAGAACTAATCCAAAGATATTTCATGTTACCCCCCCCAAAAAAATCATCAAGTAAAATAGTAATCATCTTCACTTCTTGTTGTTAAATCAATGACATTTTTCTCTCTCCGTCTAATCTCTGGAGGCTGTGAGCGATATATCAGTTTTCTTCCCTCCTAAAGCAAAGACAGAAAATACAGCATACCTTGTTCAATTAGCATCAGTGTAAACTTGTGTGAATGAATGTGTTTTCAATTCTATAATGTTATAATATGCATATATAAAAATGTTGATACCTGTCTGTTTTGTAATAACACACAGTGTGTTTCTAAGCTTGTCTGCTTACAAATTACTTCTGTGTTCAGTGGGACTTTCACTTAAAAAGTGCTACACTGCCTTGCACTCTTTTAGGCAGGATTTTGAATGCGTTCCGGTGGAGCAGAGGTGAACAAAAATTTTGGCCTCATCCTAGCCTTGTAGGTGCTGTGTCACCTACATGTGCTGTATTAGAGACCCCTATGGTAGATAATCCATTCTGCTATTTACTGGGAGGTAGCTGAGAGCATCACTTACAGATAAAGGATTGGATCCAAAATTTGAATTCTTAGTGTAGGCCCACTGATATAAGTAAAGGCCAGGAAGCCATCCATTAACTATTTTAGCTTGGTTCTGCTTAAGACCAACACGAATTAAGAAAGAAAAAGTTTCAGCTGGTCACAGCATCGTACAGGGAGCATATTACATACTGAAATGCTATTTCCCTTCTCTGAGGCTGTTTTATCCTCACATTTTGTAATGGAATATTGCACACTTAAAGCAACAGACTTTGTGCTATTGGCTGCTTTTCAGCCCTTCAAGCAAAAGCTGTAGACCACCTAGCACTGGCCTGTCAATCTAGGTTGTCACCAGTTGCTCTTTCTTCTTACCCTCTTCTTGCGACTGCTACACTTGTTCTTTTGACAGGCAGACTCTGCTGCTGCTGCGCCTCCTCCTCTTCACATCACCACTAATGATTCCTTGCCTTTTATACCACCCAACAGCTGAAGCTGTCTGGGTGGTTGACAACCATTTGACAGTTCACAAATGATTTTGTAGAACTTGATGTTCAAGAGCCAAGAAATTAAACAGGTTTAATTATAGCAAGTGATTTTAGTAGTAGTGGCATAAGCTGTGGTTATATGAAGAGCTACGCAGGCTAGCATTCACTGCCAACCACAGGATTTATATGTACAAAAATGCATGCACTACTATAACAGTAGAGCACCAGTACTAACCCTTTTCTTTGGTGCAGCAATTGCTCTCTCAAGAGCATGTTTCAGCCTCACTTCTTGGATTCTTCTCAGTTCTTTCAATTTGTCTTCACGTACTCTTCAAGGATTACAGAAATGATTTTGGTAATTAAAAGTCCTTACTAATATATCATCAGCAAGAATCTTTCCTTCCATATCTTTTAGCTCTAATAGTCTCACTTTTAACTTTAACTAGAAAATATTAGATATTTATACAAGGTATTTGAGCACTAAAATAGAGATAACACCATTTGTACAATTAGCTTGAAATTTTACTCACAAAAGAAATGGCAGACCTAAGAGCCCCATTTGGACTATTGCCCAATATCTCATATTTATTCCAGTGTTATATATGAAGTTGCAAGAATGATATAGCGGTTTATTTTAAAATACTTTTAAAAAAGCGTACAGCTAATAGGAATCTATGAAGTCTATATAATACTGGAAAACAAATACCCGTGCACACAGGATCATACAGTCTTCCTGAAACTCCCTGGGGTGAAAACTGGTTCCTGGCCTATTGTCTGTAAATCCCAGTATGGCCCAGGAGATAGTGTTGGAACTCAGATTTAAATCCCATTCAGTGATGAGAATAAATGTTTGGCTTCGAAGTTACCTTTTTCGTCTTTCTTTTGCCCTGAGTTTTTCAATTGTTTCAAAAGTATCGAGGTATTCTTTTGGAAGTGCTTCCAGCATCTCACAAAGTTCTGAAACCCGAATTTCTATTCTTTTCAACATGTAAAATGAAGTCATGTTGGATACTTCATCTGCTCCATAGCAGTCTTTGTATACCTCTCCTATTTTTTTATTAAGTGAATTCAGCATTTTATCCTTGAAATGTAAAGAACATCAGTAAGGTATAGTAAATGCTTATGTTATAATAGCAAAAATGCATAGAATTCTGTACTCGGATATTAAAAGTAGGATGAACTCTAAACCAACTTGAAACTATTTTCCACATTTAAATATTCCATTCCTAAAATATGTTGTTAGAAAATTGAAAAAGTTATACAAAGAAAGTCCATGCACAAAGTTGTTTGAATAAGCCATGCAGAATCAAATGAACAATTGTAAAATCATATACATAGCTGATGGTCAAAACAATAATAAATCCAATTAAGAAACAAGACATGGATAAATACCTGATGCATTTTTTACTTTTGGAGGCTCCTTTAAAGTGGAAAAGGTTCACAGAAGAAAATTTGACAATATTCCAGTGATGTAATTTTTGCAGACAATCTCTGGTGCCTTATTGCCCACCTGCTGTTTAAATTGTTAAGAGAAGTATGAAATGCTACGCAATATTGTAATTACATAGCTCCTCAAAGTTTTCTGACATTATTCAGGTGAACAGTAAGTATACAGAAACCATCTGCAAATTCTACAGTATTGCAGAACATTCTTAGCTATATTTTTTCCTTTCAACCACTCCCAAACTGATTTGATTTAATATATTTATGCCTGTATTTTTATTACACTGAATATTCTTTGTCCTGTCTCTGGAATTTTACTCCCTTGTGTTCTTTATGGACAGTTCAAAATAACTGCAAATCCTGCAGTATAATGATACAAATTTACCGTGGATGCTGGATCATATTCTCCTGAAGAAAACACTTTGGCTTTCAATGCCACTTCTGCACTTTTTCCCTCTTCTCTGAGACAAGCTGCTGCAAGAGCTCTTTCTTCATCTAGTAGGCTCTTAAGTTTTTGTTCCCTATTAAAAAAGGCTATAAAAATTATACCTAAGCATTCAGAACTAGACTGTATATTAATTTCTCAGTGGTACAACCCACACTCAAGGCTTTAACATGTAGATAGCTTTCAAAACTCTAAAGTCTGCTGTTCTAGGCAAAAAAATCACCTTGTTTTGCAACTATGATACAGAAAAACTAGCTTAATCAGAATTTCTGAGGTGACTCTGGGAAACGTAGCCCTGTAATGAGGTGTCTCAGAGCTGCAAGCTGACTAAGTGTTGTAAATCAGTTTCTCCCATGCTGGCTGGACATGATGTGAGTTACTCCAACACATCTGGAAGGAACTAGGTTAGGAAGGCCGTTGCAAATCATTATAGAGATGGACTACTTGTAGATGCAGAGAAACATTGAGAGGAGAAGCCTCATGAAACATCACTTCTGAGCTAGGGAAAATAATCTCTTCTTTTAAATGAGGATTTCCTTTTCTTAGAAGGCTATGTTAAAAAATGTGAACAGTGTGTATAAATTGAACAGTGCAAAAAATGGACTAATTACCAAGTAAGGTAATGGTAAGTACTACTGAATGTAAATGGTAAGTACTCACTGTACATAAAGAAATTGAAAGAATATATTTACAATTTACACTTTACAATTGTAAAGTGTAAATTTACACTTTACACTTTACAATATATTTACAATTTACAAGAATATATTTTCAATTGCTGTGTACTTTCAGAAAATAGCCAAAAATAAAAGTGTTGGACTTTTCCACATCCCTAATAGCATTCAGTGTTAATGGTGACTTTTCTAGTTATATCAGGAAAGGACAGTTTGGGGTTAATTCGCCTGCAAGGCTTACACATGCACCAGCCACCATCTGGAATATGTGAGCCACAGTGGGAGTTGTTTGATTCTTGCACAACCGACTTGTAGGAGTTGCATATGCAAAATGGCAGCCCACCTCCATACACCTTCGCCTTACCACAGGTTGGATAACCTGTAGAGCACTGTCCTATCACGTGAAACAACCCATTGTGTTTCACAATAGGATGTGTGATTGGGGTTGAGACCATGGCACAATAATAATTGAGAAGGGGTGATAACTTTATTTTGCAGAGATGGATTCTTCTTTTAGTGACTAGGAGATACTGAGTGGGCATGAGATGATTACTAGTTTCACAGCAGCTGGAATTTAGTATCAAAGCAGTTCTATGCTGTCAGCATACAACTGAGTCGAGTCCCATACCAACAGCTCTTTTGAGAGGTCAGGAGCCGCCTCGGTAAGTCACTGATTGGAAACCACAGTGGGCACACTGATCTATTTGCATTCCGTGTTATGAACAATATTATCTGCATCTCTGCTCTGACTTGCATGTCACATTGTGACCATTTGAGATTAATGTAGCCATGGCACTGTCTGGTCCTGCTAAGAAACCTGTTGTGGCTGGGCTTACAATGAGGGTATCGGGGCTGGTCAATGCCGTGACTGAGTGGTATCAACACTTCCCTAAATCTAGAAGTCATGCTTCTGGCTGTACATCCCAAGGGTGGCATTTGCCTTCTTAACTGCCACATCACACTTCTGGCTCATGTTCAGCCTGCTTTCAACAAGTACCCGAGAGCCCTTTCACAAGTGCTGGTGTCCAGCCACTTGTCCCCTATCCTGTACCTGTAGCACCTATTCCTTTGTTCCAAGTGCAAGACCTTGCACTTATCCACATTGATGCTATCCTATCATACCCCGCCCACTTCCACAGCCTGTCCAGTTCCTTCTAGTTCTGGATCACTTGCTCTTCAATTGTGATCACTGCCCCCACTTTGGTATCATCCACGAATTTAGTCAGCAGACTAAATTCAGGTAATTGATAAAAAGTTAAAAATAGAACTAATTCCAGAACTGAGCCCTGGGGGACTCTGTTCATCACTGGCTGCCATCCAGAGGATTCCCCACTGATCGTCACCCTCTGCTTCTGGCTGGTCAACCATGCCCTAATCCATCAGACAGTGCCTCAGTCTACCCAAAGCTCAACCAGGATATCATGCGGCACTTTGACAAAGACCTTGCTGAAATCCAGGTAAGCCAGGCCCAATTTGAGGTGCCAGTTTTAGCATTTGAAGCCCTGGATGGGTTAAGTCCCTATTATCTGTAGGGCCACCTACAGAAATCTATACATCTGTTAAACCATTAAGAGCTTTATAAGAAGCCCTGCACTCTTACTTGTCATCAAGAACCATTCAACTAAAGGGTAGGGATGGGGCTTTCCCAATAGTGTCCTCACAGCTTTAGAAATCTTCATCAAGGAAACATACTTGTCTTTCTCTTTTAGCAACTCCAAAGACAACAACAAGACGTTTCAGTCAGTGTTATGTTTGGTATGATGCATTGTACTTTCCTTGCTGTAATAATCAGAAAAAGACACATTTATTGAAGTACTGATAAGCTGATTTTTAAAATTGTTTACTGTTTAAAGGAGTGTTTTGTTGTTGTATTTTCACACATTTTAGAATGTTGTAAAATGGCTTGTGGGAGGATGAGGATGCAGCTTAAAATTTCTCTTCAACCAACCAAACTTACATTTGCTGGCAAATGGCATTTTCTGTCTGGTGTCTATCTTCCAAAGTTCCACTGATTTCTTGAATGTTTTGAAAAAGTGAAAGATTCTGTTCCTCAAGATGGTGGATCATCTGAAGTAATTCTTCTGGGTCTTTGAAATAAATCTCTGGTTCCTGATGCAGAAGAAAGAGTGCCATATAATTCCTGAAAGATCAGCCATAGCAGTGTAGCTGTTGCAACCATTTTTAATAAAGCTGAATACCATGCTTACAAGTGAGAGGAAAGAACTGTTTTGTATGCAGTATAATGGATTGTGTTTGTATATTATATTTATAATTAGCCCAAAAAAGTTAATTGCACTGGCTAACATACATATACTAGCAGAAAACCCTATGTTGCTCCTGACAACTTGGTGGACCCAACTGGGTCAAATTTATTCTCCCCTCTACACCCTGCGTGGCTTTGGTCACATGTGCCGCTTCAGCTTGTTCATCTTGGATTGAGGAGCTCTTATCAGTTACTATCCTGGCATTGGGCAGCAACAGTTTAGACCCAATGGGTCTCCTCTGGATCAGTCAGGAACCTGAAAATTGTATGGTGAGCAGAAGAAGGGACTGCCCACAATGCCTCCTCTCCCTTTTCCTGCACTGGCCTGTTGCACCTCCTGCCCTTCTTCCCCTCCCAAAATATGACTGATTCAGTCCAGCTACTCTTTAATAATAGACAATAAGTGTCATTACAGCCCTTCAAGAGCAAGGCTTGTTCCCAAAAAGCTATGGCAAATTGGACAAAACTGGATGACACTTGCTGGCATGCACTTTATTACCTCATCACTTTGTATGTCTTCCAAGGAAAATTCATCCTCTGAAGCGAGAGAGAGACTTCTTTCACAGCTGCAGTAAAAAGAAATTTTAATTTAGTTTTGGGTTCATGCTCCCTGGTTTGCCAAGAAAAGGAGGAAAGGTGGTACTTGGTACGATCGGGATTACATTATTTTTTAAGGCCAACACTTTGGCTAGAAGTTGCTGCAGTGAACCAGGCAGGGACTGGGAAATTGTAACACAGATTATACTTATTGATAGAAATGCCACAATGAATTTTGCAGTCATCCATGAATGGAGAGAAGAAGCAGATGATCCATGTGGCAAGCACGTTTAATTGCTAATTATTATTTTGTTAGAAGTTGACACAATTTGGAATTAGGCCCACCACCCACAATTCCTTCTGCATGCCCAACTGGGCTTTGGACAGGTGTTCCTGGAACAGGACTCATCTATGCCACCTTTGCCACCTGAAACAAGAGGGAGGTTTCAAAAGCAATTAGGCTTCACACTGTACCTTGTTGATCCCTTTTTTTTCATTTCCAAGGATAATCTGTGGCTCAGTGCTTGTCTTGATGGCTTTCTAAAGAACCTATAGTCACCTGCTTTGAAGGTTAATAACATTATTTTCTTCAGAAACCTCATTACATTTGCTGTGAAACTATGCTATTTTATAATATTTCATATTCATCTAGAAACACAAGAAGTACTGCTACAAAGAAAGACAATAGGGTCCTACTTACTACAAATAATCATTGTGCAACTCCTCACTCAAAAAGGAACGTACAAATGTTGCTGCTACCATAACAGTGAAAATGCAGATAGACAGCAAGGCTCAATTAGCCTGGGTAGGAGGACAATTTATCTGCATCAATTTCATTTTCTTCTCCTATGAATGATTTTCTGCGTAGTGCCCCAGTGAAGAGAGCCCTAGTTCCACACACCATAATGTATGCAGCTAATGGTTGTCTTCGACTCCCTAGGCACATGCTCAGATCAAAGTTTGAATTGCAGGCAGGTGCTTAATGGTGAAAAGAGTGCTGTGCTTTACCAAATTGCTGTAAAGAAGGGGAGTGGCGGTGCTGAAATGGACAGGCTGACTTTGTCTCTCCTTCATACATACTAGATACATCTATCAAACTTGGAACTCTTTTTATTGGCTAGAGAAATGGGACTATGCGTAGATGTGAATATGTCTATGGATTGCTATAAAAAAAAATAGTGGGCTGACCCAGCAGGTCTGATGTCTCTGATAATTGATGGTTTTTTTAGTTTCTTTTTTTAGTTTGTAGAAAATAATAATAAAATTTACTTAAAAAAAAGAAGGGGAGTGGCAGATGCAAGACTCACAGTACATTGCTCTTCTCACATAGTCCAAGGCTTGATGCAAGCAAATCCCCAATGATGTCTGTCTCCTGTAGCTGGCTGAACAGGCAGCTGCTCTACAGAGTATGCAGTGTGGTTGTGGGAGCGCCTCTCTCTTCCCTCCAACTCCCATTATCCCCAGCCAGCATGGTTAATGGTCAGGCGAACTGAGAGTTCTGTTCCAAAATAGCTGGAGAATACCATGCTAAGGAAAGCTGTATTAGCTTGTTCCTGGCCTAGCACATGGAAAGACTGTTCCTTTCCATGTCCAAGGTGGGTCTTAAATGCCATCTTCTGTCTGCACATGGGATACAGAAGAAAAACACCCTTCTGTGTAGAAGGTTCTTGAAACAAGAATTTGTTTCAGTCACTGCAGGTTCCTGCCAGCAAGAACTTTTGGTGTAGGCAGATACAATCTCCATACCAGGCTGCCTTACATCTGGGCTTCTTCTTCCTTACCTTGGCTGTGTGGGCTTCTCTTTTTCTCCTCGAGGTCAACAAAAATTACTGAGGCTGATTTCCCTGTTTTCTTGCCATGGAGTTGATCTTTACTGTGTGTCCCTTTGGCTAAAGACACAGTAAACATAGACTCACAAGGTTGTAAATAACTTGCACACCATCACATCTTTCTGATACACACACTCAACACTATACAGACAAGCTTTTGGAAATACAAACCAGTCTATGACCAGAAGCTATTCAGGGCAACATGTAACATTGCTGTAGGTGCTGACAGCATAGTTCCAAATAGCTCCACGTTGCTCAGGTGAACAGGCCAAGTGATGTAAGGGTGCATCATTCACATGTCATGCTATCCCAGCTTAGCAATAAGCCACAGTGGTTTGGTTGCATGCTAGGTGTGCTGAAAGATGGTTGGGTTGTTAGCCCCTTCCATTTCCCTTGGCTGGACTGAAAACATGTCTGGCTGGCATGTACAGTGCCTTGTACAGTGGTGCCTTGGCACAGGAACACCTTGGTTCACAACCAAATCGGGTCACGAACAAAAATTTCATGAAAATTTTGACTTGGGTTGCGAACCCATATTGGGTGGCAACCAAGATCTGGTTGGGGAGATGGCCACGATCGCAGTTGCGTTTGTGCAGGGAAGACATACATAGAGGAGCTGATGACAGAAGAACTTGCTGAACTCCAGAGTGAGCAGCAGAAGGCACTTGCTGAGGAGGATTCCACTGAGGAAGAGGAAGGCAGGGAGGAGATTAGTAGTGATGTGATACAATCCATTATGAAAAAATGGAATGAGTGCCAGGATTTCTTTGAGAAGCACCACCCCGACATAACTGTAACGAACAGAGTGTTGAATCTGATGAACAATAATGTGGTCTCTCATTTCCAGAGAGCGCAGGAAAAAACAAATGACTATAGACAGATTTTTCACCAAAATTGACCCTGCAGCTAAGAGACAAAGAAGAGAGGAAACCCCTGAAAGAGATCTCTCCAGTGTCCTTATGGAGGGGGACTCTCCCTCAAAACAATAACCTCCCCCCCACCCAGGTTAGTGTTCTCCACTGTACTGTACAGTACTTTGTTACTTTGTTATTCTTTGTCACCTTGTTTCAATTTTTTCTCATTAAAAAAAATAGTTACAGAACAGATTAACCTTATTTACATTGAATCTTATGGGGAAATTTGACTTAGGTCACAACCAGAGTTGTGGAACGGATTAAGTTCATGAGCCAAGGTACCACTGTATACTGTACAGAAAATGGTGTCCTTACCTGTTGTATTCTGTAATAAGAAAGAGGCTGATAGCTTGCTTTTTTCATGACCGGAAATAGAAATAAAAGATTTTGATTGGCCTCTTTTTCTTTCTTTTTTCCAGTTCTTCTTTTTTGCTAGCTGCTGTTCTTGCCACTCCTTAGGAGAAATACTTAGCAAAAAAGCTTCATAGGATAAATACAGTCTCAGAAGATCTTCAGTGTATGCAATTTCACTGCAGACATTAATGGATATCAATTGGTAAAGAAACAGCTAAGTCATATTTTAGAGAAGCACAATACGTAAATTTTATAAAGAAAATACACTTCCATGCAAACACTAATGAAAAATATTTCTTCTTTAAGTTATGTGATTACATATTCATATTCTTTTTATATTAATATTTGAGCTATAATCATGCTAAGCCTAGAATGCAGTGATACATTTTAATGTCTCTTTATTACTTCCTCTCAACCCAGATTTGGAAGATGCAGGAAAAGCCCTTTTACTTCCTCATGAATGTTTCCTCCTATTTCCAAACCTCTGCATTTGGGCACTCAAATTATAGGAAACAAATCTAAGCACATTTTCTAAAAGGACTACGAGTGCTTATGACTGGCACTGACATGAAAATTCTCTTAATTTAGCATTATTCCCATGGACTACAGATACAACTTTTCCAAATTTACTGGATGAAAAGTAAAAGGGAAACTGGGAATATCACACCCATGTATGAATGCCATGCAATTTAATTTCCAAGCAGATTGTACTACTTTAAATGCAGTTTCTCTTGGTTATCAAAGGTAGTAGTAATGTTGAGATTATATATTCTTATGTTTATATATTTTAAACACATTGGATAAGTCTTCATATATGCAAGCGATAACTCCAAGAGAAGAGATTTTGTACCTTACACTAGAACACCATACAAAAAATATTCTTAAGTTCATAAATATTCTTCTGAACAAATAAAGATAAAATCAGTATAGATCTTGTATATTACAGTTATAAGGAAATGGTTACACTAACAGTTGCACAAGTACTTCCAGAAGTTCAGAACAATATCTGCATCTATTTTAATCTAGACCATTAAAAAATCCAGTCCATTCAGTCCATGAAAAGATCAGCCACAGGTTTTGTACTAGGCACAAGCTTCTTTTTCACAACAGCATGATATGGAACAAGATACTGTATTGTGAATCCTATCAAGAAATGCCTCTTCCCATATATTTCTCAGTCATCAACCAACGATGCAAACCATGCCTTGCAAAAGGAATGAAATAAAGATCTCACCTTTTAAGAGAGAACACCTCATTCATTGCTAACCTCACTTCATCTGCAACTTCCAATTTAGATTTCGCCTCTTGAGTTGCCCTAAAAATAATACAAGTGTTATAAAGCAGATATTAGCAGGTATATCACATAAGTTGCATCTCACCCTTCTCCCAGGAAACATGTGCACCATCTGATTCACTATTGTCCTCCGAGAAGCAGAAATATGTGGTCGGTGCAAAACCAGTTAGTTAACATTCAACACAATACAAATAAAGCAATTAGCTGACCTGTTTTACAAAATCCAAATTAGAAAACTAACCCAGCCATAACTGTCACTATGTGCAAAGCTCTATAGGTGTGACATACCAATAGGGCAGCACACCACCACAAAAACTGATCGGAAACACTGTCTTAATTGAGTTCTACACACTTCGTCAAAGCTGGCTATGGGAAATAACACTAGAGCAGTGGAGGGGAAACTTTTTCACCCCAAAGGCTGGATTTAATTTCAGAAATGCTCTTGGGGCCACATCCTGTAGTGGGAGGGGCTGAAGACAAAGGACATGGGTCCAAAAAATTATATTTTTTTGTTTAAAGCGTATTTTAGTTAAAGTTCTTACTGTCAGTAACTAAGGAGAGGAATTTAAGACTTTTTGAATGGGAGAAAACTTCACAAAAGCTGGGAAGCCATGGAATGGTTGATGGTTGGAAGAACTCTGGAGGGCAGATGGGCAGGGCAAGTCTAGTCCACAGGACTAGTCTACTGAGGCGCCCTATTTCTGCATTAGAAATGAATAATCTTGAAAAATAAAAGCTATAAAGCTGGCCAGAATAGTGTGCCCAAAGCTTGTCAGAAAGTCTGACATATTTGTCATTGGTTAATTAATTAACAGGAAAGTTAATATGTTTTGGCTTTTTGACGGTGTATGGCAGCCTTGGAATGCCTTTCCAAAGGAAAACCAATACATCCTCTTGCTACATTCACATGACTACTGAAAATTCAAAAGGCTTTTTGACATTTAATATTATGCTATTTCAAAGTTTACATTAGTCTGATATGGCTGTCAGTTCCTTATGGGCCCCAATTATTCTTAAATGGCTTGGCAAATATTCCTCCAAATGGTTTGGAGGAATCCTAACTGAGAACTCATTGGAAACATACACTAAAGCTTTGGCCAAACATTATCCTAAGAAATCTAATGCAGGCTGCTGTCCTGGTTAACACTATTAGGTGGACCAGTGCTCATTTTGGAATGCAGCCCCCCCACCTCCCCGTTCTTTATTCCTTATTAATTGCTTATTTGAGCAAGTCAAACTTGAAGAATGACTTGCACATCTGGGTTGAATCAGGGACAAGAGCAGCACTGTTCTGCCGCTCTTTCTCCATGCATCACACAATTTGCTTATGCCATAGCTTGGTGATGTGTGTGATCTTGAGACAGTTTCGGAATACGGGAAGCACACTTGATCCTCCCTTCCCCAACAGTGGCTCCCTGTACAGCCTCTGATAGTGCAGCCACGTCAGCAGGAATTCTTCATGTCTGACACTGCTGTCAGATTAATGGTCCATCACTGATAACAGAAATTATAACAAGGTGTCTTAACAGTCTAAGGGCGTCTATAGAACTTCTGTCATTTTCTCTGAGAAACTCCTCAAATGCAACTGTATCTTCTTCCAGCTTTGTTTCAGCTATTTTGGCTCTCCTCTCTTCTTTCGCTGCCATTTTCTCCAGCTTTGACATAGTGCATTGCTTTATCTTAACAGCATACTGGGGGTGGAGAGAGAGAGAAAGAGATTACAAAATGCTCTTCCTACACAGCACCTTTGGCAATGGGATATCATTTCAATGAGTTGGTAAGCCAGGTGATGTGAGAGCTGATCACATGCCTTTGTTCTACTTGACCTTTAATGGCTTTTAATATGGGATTGATTCTCATCAGGATTTCATTTAAATCAGACCCTGAAGAAAGGTTTTCTGAAAAAGGAGGCTTGGGACTCTGAAAAAAAGAAAACCCTTCTCTAGCTCAAGTAAAAATCTTGCTTGCATTCATGCAACAGATCACTAGTGCATGCCACAAATTGGCTATGTTCTCATTCATAGCTTCAGCGTATGTCTAGGATGTTTGGATTTTTTCGGAGATCATTCTTTCATTGACCATGTTTTTACCTTAGTTGTATTTGGGGATTAGAATGCAACTGGGGGATTGTTCTTCTTCATCATCAATCAGTCAGGCCACTGAACAATAAAACACTGAAAAGTTAAAACAATTTTTAAAAGGTGTGATGCAGTGGCTTAAGTCACAACTAAATCCTGAGGCCTTAAGTGATGGGACAGCATATAAAAACTCTAAATAAATAAATGAATCAGTGTCATTTAGCATCAAGTTTGTGTTCAGTTCCTTGATCTGGCTCTGAACAAAGAGACTCCACTGAAGAGATGGGACTACCCTAACTGCATAATCATCCCTGCCTTATTGCTTTCAAGAGATTAAATCTATTGTACTCAATGGAAAAGGCAGGGGTGGACACAATGGAATATTCTGGAACTTTTGCTATTGAAGAAGCTACAGTTTCAGCAACATTTTAAAAATGCAGTATTAGTATTGAAATAAGTAGGAAAAGAACTAAATATTAAAACAGAGCAATGTATTTAAAGAGAACCTAAGATTCATCACAACTTCTGCTAAAATATGGGTATGAAAGGTTCTTTCATCTCATTTGTTTTTTTAAATAGAATTTTGTTTTGGCAAGGCTCCATCTCTCCATGAATGGAATGTCAACAACTCTGAAATCTTCACAGTGCTCACTTCCCTCGCATTCCGTTCAACTCCTTTCCCACCAGCTGTGTTTTTTCTCCTAACACCTGTAGCCCTTAACTCCTGTTGCTTATCAGAATAGCCAGCTGCTTAAGCATGGCCCAGTTATTTTTCCTGCCTTGGCTTCTCTCCACTGAGCATAATTGTAGCAACCACCGTCCTGTCTACAGTCTTCTGCAAACTTCTAGGCTCATTTCCGCCTTCTATCAGCTGTGACTCACTTCTGTCTTTTCCTTCAGCTCAGTGATTCAGCAGCTGCAGTTTCTGGCTTCTTTACCTTGCTATTGTGCCAGAAAGAATTGGCGGAATCAGCAGCTTTTCAGACTCTGAATAGCATGAAGCATACATGCACAATACGTTACTGATTATATGGAATCTCGATGTAATACAACAAACTATGCAATATAAGTTTTGTAAGTTGTGTATGTATGAATTCACTATCCTGGGAGTTTACAGAAGGACTAAAGAAAGGAAACATTGCTGAAAGCTTTGATAAGAAGTGAACCTTACACTTTCATTACAAGGCTTAGATATAAAATGTATTTCTTACTATAAAAATGTCAGCTACAAGAAATAAAATTCTTACCTCTAGTAGAAACAGCTCCTTCTGTTCACTAATATAATCTGTGATAGACTGTTTATCACTTTGACAACCTTTAAGAAAATTAGAATTGTTAAAGTTATCCTTTTCCTTCAAAGCGCTTGCAGTTTGAAAAAGTAAATAAACCATAGATATGCAAGAAGTTGCACAGTTAACTTGCTAACAGAGTAAAACATGATGTATTGATCCATTAACCAGAGATTAGTTGGCTAGACATAATTGATCCATTAATTTTGAAAGGGCAAAATATGTAGCACTGAACCACAGTTAAGGAAGCTGTGAGATGTCGACAAATTCTGGTATATGCCAGCCAAGTAACCAGAATCAGAATGCAAGGTCTGAAGTGGCTTTGCAAGCCATGCTTTGTGCTAACTGTTGTTTGACATAGTCTCTAAAATGATCAATCATAGATGCAGAAAAGGAGAGGAGAGAAGTGGCTTTAAACCAGAGCTTATCAGATGGCTTTAGAAAGTGGATCTGAGTTCTAAACTGTGGTTGGTGCAAGACATGATTTGGCATGAAAGCTCAAGTGAGGCACTGAAAACAATAATTAAAATGTTCTTATCTCTGGACAGAATAGGAAAAAGATGGTAATATATTATCATTAGCTGTGTGTCTACTCTTGAATTTCAATTTATAATGGGCAGAGCAACCCTATGGTCCCCTTGACAGAGTCTGGAGTGCCATAGGATGCTTTGGATCTTCTCTGCCACATCTATACATTCAGCTATGAGTATGGAGCTAGCAACTTGATTGTGGGTCTCCCTGGTCTGTTCCCAGCTGCCACCGAAAACTCCCTGACCACTCCTTTTCCTAAGGTCACCACAACAGCTTTAGGGACGGTGGGAAGGTGCTGCTCTGCAAAGAAGGAAACACATAGATCTGAAGGATCTTGTTCATCCATCCTTGCCCACAGGAAGGTGAGAAAAGGTCCAACTAGGTCAAGGCAACAATCTTGGGAAAATGGGAAACTATAAAATCCTCCATGCTCCTGTCTTGCCTGGTTCTTCTGGCAGCACTTTGGACAGACAGAGCAATCCATAGAATTTTGTTTTTAATTTGCACAGTATTATTCATAAGTTAATTTGCAAACTTGATAACCAGATCCTGGATATGCCTTTGTGCTAAAGAATTTCTATAATTAAGATACATTCTTGGTAAGCACAAAGGCAAGCAAGCTTATATTTTTGAAGTTCATTTTACTCACACTTTGCAAAAGTAAGAGCCCAGTTTAGATCAGTAATTTCTTTTTCTATTTCTCCCCGTGAATCTCTTTCAATAACTTCTTCCAGTTTTCTGAGAGCCTTTCGAGACCTGGCTCTTGAGGAAATAGTGCTCTTTTCATACACTTTCAAATCTTGTTGAGATGTTCTAAACTGAAATTAAAATTCATGTTATTGAGAAAAATAATTTCCTTTCTTCCCTTCTCTTATTTAGGTTTCTAATTTAAGCAATGTGTAGGAAAGTGAAGACACATCTGATCCATGATCAGATTTACTGCTGTTGTTATATGCCATCTCCAACATTATAACTGAATTTCCTCCAGAATGGCCTCTCCTTGACAGCCCATCTCAACTCTTGTAAATTCATGGACCTGGCTTCCTTTATGGAATCAATCCATCTCATAATTTGGTTTTCCTCTTCTCCTTTCATTTCCCTGGCATATTAGCCTTGTCCTTCTTGTGCCTTCTCATGGCACCCTAAGTATGACAGTTTGCAAGGACAGTTCTGCCTGGACTTGATCTAGGATACACTTGTTCATCTTTCTGTTGGTCCAAAACTCTCCTCTAGCATCAGTTTTCAAAGGCATCAATTTTCTTCCTGTCAGATTTCTTCTCTGTCCAGCTTTCACTCATACGTTGTGATTGAGAATGCAATAGTATAGATTATCTTGGTCTCCAGTAAAACATCTTTACAGTTGATGATCCTTTCTAGTTCCTTCATTGCTCCCCATCCAAGTCTCAGTCTTCTTCAAATTTCTTGGCTGCAGTCTCTTTTGGAATTGATGATTGAGCCAAATCTTTCACAATTTCAATTTTTTCATTGTTGACAATAAAGTTGTATAATTCTTCTGTAGTCAAAATTTCTGTTTTCTTGGTGTTCAGCTGCAGTCTAGCTTTCTCACTTTCTTCTTTCACTTTCACCAGGAGCCATTTCAATTAATTGCTGCTTTCTGCCAGAAATATGCATAACTTAAATTATTGATTGATCTTCAACCAATTTTCTTTCCTCCTGCCTCTGATCCTAATCCACTTTTTCTGATTTAAGTATTGTATTTATTTCATTTAATTTGATATGCTCTGTGTACAGATTGGACAGACAGGGAGATAAAATACACCCTTGTCTGATGGCCTATAGTAAATCATTTTGCTTCTCCATATTAGTAATCTTTTTCAGCTTTACTCTGTTTTTTTATATTAACAATTCTTTGTCATTACCACAATTAGCTACAGGTCTTGTTTAGGCAATAGGAATACAGTTTCTCCATCTTCTGCTTCCAGTTCAGTAGTCTATTTGATTTCTATATTGGCCATCTGGTGATGTCCATATCTCCAGTCATCCAATTGGTTGCCTGAAGTATGTGTGCAGTAAACAGATAGTTGGCTTCCAGAATTCTGTGAAGAATTCTTCTGCTTTGTTTCTGACCACTAGGCCGAAATCTCCCACAAAACTGGATTCTGCATTGTTTCCTACTTTTATGTTTCAGTCTCCTATGACTATCAGCATATCTCATTTTGGTGTTTTGTCAATTTCCTCTTTGACACCTGTGTAAAAGTTCTCTATTTCTTCTTCAGCAGCAGATATTGTTGGTACCCAGGCTTGGATGATGGTTACTTTGCTAGGTTTTCCACCCATTCTGATTGATTTGGTATGACGTTACGTTATACTTCCTTACTGCTAATGCACCATCTTGCCTTGATATTAGAGCCACTCCATTTTTTCTGAGTTAGTCAGAGTAAAACACTTTGAATTCAATTGACTGAAAATGTCCCATTCCAGTCCACTTGAGCTTTCTCACACCATGCTTAACAATTCAGTTTCTTGCTTTACAGTGTCCAGGCTGTTTTGATTCATATGTCTCATGTCCCATGTCCCAACAGTATGCGTTATGCAGCTTCAGATTTTCCTTTTGCCTCTGTTCATGGCAGCTACTGGACTTCCTTTCAGACCTGATCTAGCTGCATTATTAGCAACAGCTCTCTTCATACTTGTCCTTTGTTCTTTCCCAGTGCCTTCAGACCAGGGAGTCTCATCTCCTGGCTTATCTCTTGTTTCATTTTGCACTGTTTCAACTTAAGGTTTTCAAGGTGAAAAATATTCAGAAATGATTTCCCATTGCGTTCTTCTGCATAGTACTCACCTCGGTTAGCTTGAACATCACAGCCATTATCTGTGAAAGATCCTCTGCCAATGTCGCATTAATCTCCTCCTGCTGCTCAATAGCTACCCTTGAGGAATTTCTCCACCTGCATCCCCCTTAGACATATTTATTCTCTGCTGCTATTGTGACTGCTACTCCTTAAGAGGATGGATGCACACTTGTTTCAGTTTTGACTGTTCTACCTTGATTGACCCTGCTAGGAGACAAATGAGAGGGTCTGGCCCACTGGTGGCACTGCTCTTGGCTTCTCTGACACTTTCAGCCCCTCTCACCACAGCAAGATGCTCATCTAAAAGGGAGTCAGATATACTAGCATCTCTCTCTCTCTCTCTCACGGGAAAATTGAAACTTGGTGCTTAGATTGTACACAGGAATGCATGCACCACCATTGCCCTGATCTCACCCCATCCTGCCACTCAGAGCTGCTAATGTTGGGTACCTCATGCTACAAGTAATTTTGCAAAGAAAGATTTTGGACAGGGAAACAAAGCAGGGAATACATACCTTTTCTTTTTCAGTACACTCTATATCTCTATAAAGATAGATTTCATTGCCCATACTTCTGAAAGGGCTTCTTGGTTTGCCATCTTTTCACATAGAATATGAAAGAAAAATATTGTTTTAATACAATTGAAGATCAGTGCTCAACCCAAATAAAAGTAGTTTTAGATAACTACAAAGTTGGAGTCCTCTCTGTGATGATACCACAGTGCTCTACTCTAGCAGTAGAGACCTGGCTGAACCCAGTACGCTGGTCATTCAAGCACCAGCTAAGGACTTACTTATTTGTGCAGGCATTCAAAATTTAGGCAAGTGTTTTATCTGCTTTCTGGTGTTCTAGTGATAGTTTTATTGTATTTTACAATGTGTTCGTTCTTGTAAAGTTATGATTTTAATAGTGTTCATATATTCTACTGTTTTTATAGCTTGTTAGCTGCACTGGGATCCTTGTGAGAAAGAGTGAGACATAAATAAAATTCCCAGACCATTAGAAAATGGTAGATCTTAAGCTAAAGTGAAAGCAACAAAATCCTCCAGTAGAAATGAGGATGGCTTGAACTTAAAAGATCACTTTCGTAAGTTTCTCCCATTCTATTAATATTATGTACCTACATGTAATTGCCTCTGAGAGCACTATTTGCTGAAAATAAATGGATAACAATTAAATAAATGTGCACAATAAAATAATTATGAAAAACAATTATTTGCAAAGCCTGTTATAAATCGTGAACTACCTACAACACAATGAAACACAGCATTGATATACGTGTCCCTCAAGAATTAAAATCCTTAGCAAACTTCCAAGGCATCTTTCCACTGACTTTTACTACTGCCCCTTAGAGAAGGAGGGGTACAGCTTCTAAGGTTATATGATAATTTTTTAGGGGAATTTGTACCGTTATTATATTCTGTTCCCAAACATGGAGGATATACATGTGATGGGTCTGTTGATGACATCTTTAGTCTAAATCTCTTCGTAGATCTAGGAAAACAGAGAAAAGAAACACAGAAGTCAGTAAGCATGTTCCACTTTTACCCATTTGAAAATGCCATATATAACTACATAGCAGCACAATCATAGGAAAATATGGACATTTTCCAGATGAAGTCTTAAAACTTCCAAGTTTATTTGCATATCTTGCAACCCAAGTTGGTGGACCAATAGAAGCATTTTAGGTTGCAATCCTATCCTACATCTCCCAGTATGTTACATTAGGATAAAATAGAAAGTGGTACTTGCCACAACACAATTCTTCATCTGTCTTTCAATCTATTCTTCATACTGAGACTGGAAAAGAGAAATGGATAGCAGTTTCAAAGAGATCCTAGATATAAACGATGCCTAAATTCTGAGTAATCCTCACCTGGAAAAAGAACAGAAGAGAGAGGGGAAGGCAGTAGAGACCACATTCAAGCCTGAAGGTTCATATGGAAATAGGGAAAGTATTCATATTCAGGGTCAGAGAAATGAATCTTATTTAATACTTCAGGGCTGCTTCATCCATTTCCTACAGGGAGACTAAACAAGTCGCTGCTGCATCTATTTTCTGTCTGGTCTGGGCACCTCTGATGGATAGAAATGCTTCCTCCTCACATCATATGCTGTCTCTAGGACCAGTCCTACCATGAAGCAGAGCGAAAGAGCCGCTGCAGGCAGGAGGTGCTGTGTGTGGAAGAGCAGCCACCCTCACTCTCAGGTGTTTTCACCTCCCTAAGCTGGCACTGCTCGTGCTTGCCTGTTGCTGATCTGCGCTTTGTGTCTCTCCTGGCTGTCCTCTCCCAACTGAGAAAGATCCTGAGCCTCCAAGGGTAACGAGGAGTCGGCAGGCAAAGCTGTGTGACCTGGATAGGCTGCCTTGGCCTCCCCTTGCCTAAGTGAGCCTGCTGTTCTCAGGTGCATTGGATGGCACTGACCCGTTACACCAAAGTAAGCGGCAACTGCCAGGCTCTACCTGGAAGGCACCATCTTGTCCTTTACCACAGGCAGCAAAATGTCTTGGGCTGGTCCTGACAACCGTAAACACAGTATTTCCTACATCATGATTAATCGAACAGGAAAAGGAATTTACAGAATAGTTCTCATGCCCAAGCTAGGTTCACTTCATACATTAGAAAAAGATCTTCAGCTGTTAAGTGGTAAAAAAGTGTTTATTTTACAGAGGGGGTTTCTAGAGTTCGTGGAATTCCAGACAGGTCAGAATGTCAAAGGCTACTTTGCATTCACATTTCACTTCCACCTACAGTGACCCTTTCTCACAGTGTGAACTCATACTACACATGATGAAGAAGCAAGCACCCACACATTAGGCAGGAGAGCCCCATATTACTGATGCCATCTGTATGATTGATTTATTCACATACTCTCAGAGCAGCAAGGATCAGCTGCAGGTGCATTTAAATCCAAATTCACAGAAATATGAACTCATATTTCAAAAGGCTCTGTGTATGCATTAGCACATTATAGACTTGCAGGTCATTATGCACAGTTATCCTGCATGCATGTAATTTGCTGTGTGTCTACATACTGGGAAGTAGTTAATATAGAAACAGCACACATACAAAATCTTCATATGTTACAAATGCTAGCTGCAATAACATAATTTCTATATGCAGGAATTCTATGACATGTGAAGTAACAAATCTTACGTCTGATAATTCAGAGATATTCAACTTCATGCACTGTGAAAAGGCAATTTCATACCTGCATTTTTAAAAGTCAAAGGGAAATGTACCAGGTACCTTTCATTCCCCTTCTCCTGTTACTTGTGTCACAGGTAAAGACAAAGTTGTAGTTTAAACACTGAAGGAACACCAGCGGAAAGGTCTCCCTCCCAGGAGCCCAGTAAAGAGAAAAGCTGCTGCCAGTGGCCTGGGAACAGGGTTCAAATTTAAACACGCCTCCACAGGTTTTGCAACAGTAACATATACATATTCAAATACATATTTTAAAATAATTTGCTTCTGGTTTAAGCCTCAGAATAATTTTCAGTACCAACGTTAATCTTTTTCCAGGGGACTAGCAATGGACTATTGACTCCATAAAGGAATCCACAGTCTTGGATTCACAAGAGCTGAACAGATTTGTCACTGATAGAGCATTTTTGGAGGGCTTTCATTCATAGGGTTGCCATAACTTGGAGACAACTTGACAGCAGCCAACAACAAAACAATGTTAGTCTAGTGCAGCAACAAAACAAAACAAACAAAAACCAGCAGTCTTGCAGCACCTTAAAGTTTAGCACGCGTTTTCTGACATAACCTAAATCTAATCTTATGTATTTGCTGCTGTTCAATAGTACCATGTGTGGATATTTTAAAAAGTTGATCATAATTACATATATAGTTTACTGCTACTCTCATATATTAGCTTCATATAACGGAAGCCATAAGTTACCCAAAAGTCTCTTACAGAACAGACCGACCAACTCCTGCAGAGGGAGAGCCTTTCTCCAAAGGCTGAAAGGAACCTCCTTCAGTTGCCAGCCATCCCATTGCTGGCTAAGCGATCCCAGAAGGGGATGCCCTCTTTCGGGCAAACTGGGCCCATCTTTTATTTCCCTTTTCGGGTCTGGCTGAGCGTGTGTGTGGGTGAGTGTGGGGGGCAGGGGATTTATAAGAGATCCGCTTTCGCCGAGGTCCCGTTCCCGCCCCTTCCCAAGCGTCTCCCTTCCAGCGCGCCCTCGCCCAAGTCCGCTGCTCGCTCCCCTCACCAGGGGGCGAAGCCAGCGGGAAAGCGCAGCCTGAGCAACATGCGGAAGCCGCCGCCGCCGCAACGGCTCCTTCTCTGCCCGGCAAGGCTGCACTTCCCGCGAGGAGGAAGAGGAGGCGGTTGGGCGGGAGTAGCTCCGGGCACGAGGCGCGAACGGAGCCGGCTCGCAACTGTGGAGAGGGCGGCCGGTGCAGGCGACCCTCCGGGGCGCTGAAGGATGCGGAGCAGCGCGCTGTCAGTGAACGCGCCACGCCAGCAAAGGGAGCGGGGCGGAGCAGCGGGGCGGGGCGAGTGGGAAGGACAGGAGAGATTTCCTCGCGCTTTCTCCATGTAGGGAGAAAGTTCGGGCATTCTAATCATATGTGGAGTGAAAGTGCCAGATTTTGGGACTTGCAGTTAATGCTGCAGAGAGAGGACACAATCATGAGCGTAACTACGAGCTGGTGCGTGGAAGCGCTTGGCTGAAAACTTAAGGCGCAGTCATGTGCCCGTTTAGACAGGAAAAGAAACCACGGCAATTGTAGGGTCTAAATATGCACAGGGCTTGTGCTTTTAGGAGCTACTTTCTTTCCTTCCCTGGAGTGAAAGTGAAGGGAGATCGCATGGCCAGCCTTATTTATGAAAAGAGCCACGTTCAACAAATTGCTGCATTTAAATGTACAGGTAACCAAGCAAGGAGAACAGTTTTCTTTTGCTGAAGAAGACAAACAGAAGGGCAGCACAAACTGGGTGGATGACATAAGAATTTCTGAGCACCATCGTATATACATTGTTGTTGCATGCAATGAAAGCCCTCGAAAAAGTCCTGGCTTGACAGCCCTGCTTGTTCTTCTGCCTTCAGCTTTTTCCAGCGTGACTGTCTTCTTCAGTGAGTCTTGTCCTTTCATGATGTGTTCAAAGGACGACAGCTTCAATTTTGTATTTTTGCTTCCATCTAGATACATATGCACATATTACGCAGGTAATATATGTGCGTTCGTGTGTGGGAACAATATGGCTTGAAATTTCTCAAAAGAATGACTATTTCCTCTACTTTATGGAATAAAAACCATGGTGCTTAAACCCATTCAAGACGACAGTGTCCTGTAGATGCAACTTAAGCTGCATCATTTTGCTGCACACCTTAACATGCCCATAATCAACTATTCCTTCTCTCTGTGAAGAATCCGACAGTTTAATAAAAAGGTTAGAATTATTCTGAATGTAATGAACTCTTGCAGAGGTAAATCCAGGCTGGAGAACATTGCTCTGCATACTTACCTGGGAGTAATTCTCATTGAACCCAAGAGGTTGAACTTCTGAGTGGACAGGCACAGGATTGCACCATGGGTTTAAGACAGAGGCCCAACTAAGCACAATGGTTTGGACATGACTTCTTATGAGAAAGAACTAGAGCGAAGTTGGCATCTATTTATGATGTAGATTTTCCAGCTCAAAGGCCTCTTCCAGGCACCCTTCCGAAGTTCTTACGGAATTAAGCCCTCAATTCCGTATTCCTAATGGCAACGGATGCGTCCCCTGTTTCTTAGGAAGTTCCTTCGTGTTTCTCTGTTCAGTACATATTTATTCACTGTTCAATAAGGCTTATTCCTAGGTGTGTACAGAATTCCAGATATTCATCACCCACGTCCCAAGGCCGCGCGCCTATCGAGCAAATCACACGACTCACCCTGCCCTCTTCTGGCGATTTAGGACGAGAAAGCTTCGGACCTGTTCTACGCATGCGTCAGAAGTGCGAAACGTTTTAGCGCGGACGGTACCATTATAGCCTGCGGAGTATTCAACCAATCAGAACAATGAAGGATAGCTGTAGCACTATAAACACTGACAAAATTATTATGAGATAAGCCTTCGTGGATTTATGTCACCATAAATGTGTTAGTAGGTTAAGGTACCTCCACGGTTCTGATCCAGCAAGTTTCCTTCTGTGCTATTACCGTGAGCTGCAACAATAAATGATTTCCTACTTGCAGTCTTAAAATAAAACAGTCCATGGGTTGGTATTCAGTATCAGCTTAACTTAAATTCACTTCAATGGGTCTAGTGGTAGGACCAATAGTGGGTAAAACCTCATTCGACCTACTGTCCTGGGAGTTTACTACTTCTGTATCAGACCAGCGAGAGAAGGGCGCGCGTGTTTGCGAAGAGAAACGACCAGGGGAGGCTGGTGGGGCTCCTTCTCTATTGCAAATTTTATTCTGAGCTTTCTAGGAGCTTTCCATGGTGGTGATCCGATTTTGGGGATGGAATTCAGCGCCGAAAATAACTCTCGTAAAAGTTGCAATAGATAAGGAGCCTCACTAACAGAGGAGTCACCAGCCGGAAAAAGTCAGACCCTGACCTGAGAAATTTCCAGCCGCTCTCCCCGCCCTGGCTGAGGCCATCCGGGTCGCTCCCTCCAGGCTCACTTGGCTCTGTTTTGCCTGCAGGGAGCAACGTGATGGCTGGCGGTGAGTGCAAGCTTCTGCTTGAAGGCGCTCAGCAGCTGGTGCTGGTCTGCGCCAAAGGCGAAAAATACCTTCTCGAGGCTGGCATGCAACATCTGGCAGTCTTGGAAAACGCCAGTGTGGTGATTGGCAAGTATGTACCCTGGATGGTGTGGAGGCTTGCTCTTGCTGGTCAGCTGCTAGCTGATCAAAAGTGTGCATGTGTGTTTAATGGATGAACTTTCTTGTAACCAACGAATTGGGTTATTTTTGTATCAGTAAAAACAGTAGTTAATGAATTTAATTGTTCTATATTGATGACTCAAACAACATAGCTAAACCATTATTTAAGGGGGAATCCATTAATTCAAAAAAGAAAGACAGACGGACGGACAGACAGACAGACAGACAGAAAGAGAGGCTTATCTTCTGGATGAAAAAGGCTATCTGACCTGGTTTAAACTAACCTTAGGATTTTTGTTTGATTTCAGAGACGGGTACATAAAGGCAGTCGGGGATGCAGATGCTATTCGCAAGCAATTTTCTGGAGTGTTTTTTGAAAGAATAATTGATTGTTCAGGAAAATGTATCTTACCAGGTTGGTGTACATTTCAGATTTCCCTGCACCAAGCAAAATGATGCAGTGTTTTCATAGGCAGAGATTCACAAACTTAGTCAAATGTTCTCTGCAGTTTCTCTTTGATAAGAAATGTAATGACTCTCTTCTGGCTAGTTCAGCAGTGGAGCTTGCAGATGGAGCTGCCTGTGGGCCTGGGGTAGTTCTGCAAGATCTGTTAACTTTGATCTTGTGTGATTATTATTTGAGGCTGGGCCACATCCGTGTGCTGGTGCGTCTCCAAGCCTATGAAGAGCCATTTGACACTTTTTTGGCAGTGGAAAGACTGCATCAGGCTCTCCTTCACTGGAAGCATAAGAAGGCTAGGGGAGAACTGCCTGGTATGCTGTAGTTGCATCTTGCAGTGCTGATCCTACATTTAGAAACGTAGGAACAGAGTGAGTCAGAAGGGGTCTCACAGGCCATCTAGTCTGACCTCTGGCTCCAGCTGGATCTGCTCATGACATGCCTGCCATGTGCATGTCCAACCTGTCCTTAAACACTGTCACTGATGGGGCTTCAACCACCTCCTGTGAAGGTCCCTTCCATATTCTAGGGGTTCTAACCATCAGGAAGTTCTAACTTCCTGGTACCCACCTTGAATCTTGGTTACCTGAGCTTTGCTCCATGAGAACGTGTCTTGCCCTCATCTGCAGGGAAAAAAGGTCACCTCACATACCTATATGTGGATTGACTAATGATCTTGCTGTGGATTGATCTAAGATCTTGAAGGGAACCTTCCAAGTCTGTGATTCTATGATAGATTCTGTGCAGTTTGCATGTCTATTATCTAAACATGGCTTCACTGGAAATCAGATTGTCACCACATCTTACTGATAAACCAGTGCAGTGCAACATCCAGCATGCACATCAGTTTAGCTACCTTGGGATCCTTCAAATGGTTTGACCTACAACTTCCATCAGCCCAAGCCAAGATCACCATCAGTGAGGAGGGATGATGAGACTCCTAGACCAAAATATGCAAGAAACCAACAAACCTAGACTGTTTCTCCATTGATTACTGTAGGGAAGGGGTGCAGAACCATGTTTCAGCTCTAAATTTTTGAGAAGCTCTTGGGGGCTTCATTCTGTAGTGGGCAAGGACAAAGGATGGAATCAGAAATACCAGCACATTGTAGCTTAAAGCTCTTACAAATTTATGAGCTGTGAGAGGCATCACAGCATTTTAGAATGGGTAAAAACTGCACAAAAGTCAGGAAACCAGCCTCCCACTGGTAGCCAATGGAAAGGGCATGGCCCTCTAGGGAAACAGAGAGGGTCAGATTGGAACATGGCTTGAATTTGCGCCCTGGGTCCAGGGTCCTGCACATTTGCTATAAAGTGAATGGTTTTGTGAGACCTTTTAATGTTGAGTATGCTGAAGGATCATGGATTTTGCCATGCTTGCTCAATGGCACGTGGGAAGCACTTTTCTGGGCAATGCAATGGTTCCATCTAGCCGATTTCTTGGAACTTTGTTCACAGACCTTCAAGGACAGTAGAAATTTCATTTGAACTTACTGTGACAAAGGAAAATAGAGCATAAACAGTTTCAAGAAAGCATTAAAGCAGAAGCTCCTTCCCTTTTTCCACCCTCTCTGTTTCGCAGCAGTTTGCTGACTTAGAAAGCAATATGACATATAAACACTTCTCTGGAAAAATGAGCAATTCTGAAAGTGTGGTAATGTTCCCCTATTCTGTTTGTTATGCAATTGAATTATCCAGATTATGCATTTGCTACTATTTTTTTCTTTTTTTGGTAATTAGGTCTTGTCGATGCACACACACATCCCGTATGGGCTGGTGACAGGGTTCATGAGTTTGCACTGAAGGTAAATCTGCATTATCAGAGGTGATGTGGGATGTTTCCTTTTGCAGTTCTCTGCTTTTATTGTATAAATCAATGTTTCCATAGTGTCACAGCTTCTGAAAAAGCACAAATATCATACCATTAGGTACAATGCACAGAAACCAGGGTATGGACAACTTCAGATTTGGGGATGGGAAAACAGCAGAAGACAGAGTGATGATGAAGGGTTTTGTAGGTTGTTGATGAAAAAGGAAGGGGGGGTGGTAGAATCAGACACTGGCTGAAAATCGGCCAATAAGCGTCATGGCAGAGTAGGACTGCATCTCCCAAGTCTCAGCTGAACACTAGTCAGTACCCTCGTGGCTCTTTTAGATGCCAAACCTCAGTCCTGAAACCTAAGCCATGTCGGACATTGAGCAGACTCATTTTCAGGATTTCACTTCTTCCCACATTGAACTTTGTAACATTTGAAAAGTACATGGACATTGCTTTCATTACATTTCAAACCAAATGAAAGCCTGCTAAATATCACCATGATGTATTTTCAGTGAAATAGGTAATCATGGCTATACCTCACAGGTTGCTGAAGTTATACAGGAAACACTGTACAATATATATTCATCTTTTAAAAATGTTAGCATTTATCAGCCTACAACAGGTTCAATGATTATAATCTGCCTATAAGAATATCTTTTCAGTTGCTCTATATTTCTTGTTCTGTGATGCCCCACATTATATTCCAGCTGCACATGAGGAAGCCCTGATGTTCACTTCGTCCTGGGAGAAGAGACAGGAGAGAAGATCCTCCCCTTACCATCTCTTTTCCTTGGAAACTTGCCAGCCTGGCTGCATTCTCTTTCTGTGTGTGTGTGTGTGTGTGTGTGTGTGTGTGTGTGTGTGTGTTCATGTGTGTGTGCATGCACACACACAAGGACATGGTCCAGAGGGAATTGAAGGGAAAAAGTGACTAACAGGGAAAGGTTGCACGCTACCATAAAGTCCCTTCTCTGTGGCAAATCTTCCCCTTCTGAGGCATTTTGTATGGATTGGAGTCAAGGGAGAAGGATTGTGACTTTACGTGGCAGCAGAGTGGTATGTAATTTTCCTGATAACACACATTTAACAGAGAACTTTGTTTTTTAGTTGGCTGGAGCCTCTTACATGGATATTCATCAAGCAGGAGGAGGAATCCATTTCACTGTGGAACACACTCAGAAAGCCCTGGAAGATGAGCTCCTCAAAAGTTTCAAATGCCGGCTCCTGCGCATGCTCAGAGCAGGCACCACTTTGGTTGAATGCAAAAGCGGATATGGCTTAAACCTAGAAACAGAAATTAAAATGCTCCGAGTGATTGAGCGGGCCAGGCAGGACATGGCCATCAGTATTTCCTCTACTTACTGCGGAGCCCATTCTGTTCCTAAGTAATATGATCCTTCTGTCTTGTCATTTCAAGCACTGTGCTACCTGGAGCAGAGGGGTAGGGAACTGGGGCTCTCCAGGTGTTGTAACTCCCATCAGCCCTAGAAAGTGTGGGCAAATGATCAGGGATTACAGGAGATGAAGTCCAGCAACAGCTTCTCACCTGTCCATTATGTCCTTAATTTCCACGTAAGGCTTATCTAGGGTCACTGACTAAGCCGTTTTGCTTGATCTCTACAAAAAATGAGAAAGACATGAGGAGTGGATCACAGCACTGCCTCCCAAAGGGTTTAAGGGTAAAAATTCTTCTAAATCAGAATTGGTGGTTATGCACAACCCCCCAATCTGGGAGACAATTCTGATCACTGTGGGCCCATATGTAGCAGCATCAACAGAGGAAACAGAACACTGGCAGAAGGTCTATTTTGACAATCTAATTAGGGTACCCAATTGCACAAAATGTTTCTAATTCATCTAGTACTTCTGTTGGCCATCTTATCAGATATTTGATGATAGGAAATGTCCTAAGAATGATTTTGAGCATGCTGAATTTGTGAGGAGAAGGGAAGGCCTGAGGGGTGTGTGAGCTTTCCTGTACCTGTAACAATTCTAGAAGAGATGTATATGGAGATAGGAAGCATAAGGTGCCGCTTGTAGTTGCTGTGTTCCCCTTGTATCAGAAGAGGGCAGACTTTGGCTGTTTTTTCCAGAATCAAACAGAGCCAGAGAAAAGTGCTCACACTTGGAATTCAAGAACAGAGTACCTCTGGGCATGTTCAAAGTGAACATAAGGATTTGTTTTCACTGTCATTGCACAAGAACAATACTCTTGGCTATTCTCAAGCTTTCTGTATTTCAGCAGCTTAAATTTTTGTTGTGGTTATGTTAAGCCATCTGCAGCATGTTACATGGAAATTTTGTTGGTACTTTTTAACTGAGAATCATAAACCTTGCAAATCACCTGTGCTCCCTCCCACCCCCTTGTGCTCCCTCCCACCCCCTTGTGCACATGTGCATGTGTGCACACACACAGAAGAAGCAATCAAACACTGGATTGGCTCTGCATTGGGATGTTGCATGGTGTGTACAGCCATGGTTCTAGCTTGATTTAAAGCCATGAAAAATGGCTGAAATATCAGCAAATATCAAAATTATTTAAAACTCTTCATATAGCCAAGGTAAAATGCCTTTTTGGTTCTTTAGATTTTTTTTAATTATGAAACTTGGAGCATAAAAATTAAGAACTTGGAGCATAAAACTTAAATGAGATTGACTTTGTTACATTCTCTATTTAATAGGGGCAAAACTGCCATTGAAGCTGCTGATGACATTATCCAGCGTCATCTTCCTAAACTGAAGGAACTTGACCTGAATGGTGAAATACATGTTGACAATATAGATGTTTTCTGTGAAAAGGGTGTTTTTGATCTGAATTCTACAAGAAGAATTCTTCAAGCTGGGAAAGATATAGGGTTACAGATTAACTTCCATGGGGATGAACTGCACCCAATGAAATGCGCTGAGGTACTTGAAAAAATATATGGCACATTCACTTTTGAATTCTGCTGTGAGACTAGGTAATGCCCAGGCAGCTTATTTTACTTGAGTGCGAAAGCAGGATATTACCTTTCAGCGATAAGCTACAAGAAAATGTAGCACACAGTTTGTTAAAGTGACTGAGTTAGACTGCTAGACCCTTCGACCTTTCCTGATCAATGTTGCATTCCATTCAAACATTGACTTAGCTTATCTTTTCCTTCTGATGTAACATTAAAAGATGGACATCAGATGACCTTCTTTGGTAATGACAGCACTGCTGGATAATATACACATGTAAATAGTTACTGTTTGTGTATCGTTAATATTTTCAAAGGGTACAAACAGTTTCACTAGTAACCATCATTAGTTGTCAGTACAATGTTTGGTCCAGACTAGATTTCAAAACAATGCTGCCAATATCCCCAGTCTATTTTGGCCTTCTTAAATGTATTCTTTCTTTCTTTTTTTCTGGTGGGCATAAAGTATGGAAAAAGCCATGCTGGCTGCAGCTGGAAGGCTGCAAGAGTGCTCTTGCAGATGGGCTTTTAGAAATCTGGAAGGGAAGCAGGGAAGGGAAGAGACAGGCTAATTGTTTTGAACCCAGAAGTGACCTTTGCCTGCGCACTTCTCCCATCATGTATAGGATACCCATAATCCTCTGAGTTAGGAGGGTTATGGACACCCTCACTGGATTGTGCCCTAAGTCACTAAAAGCATCTAAATCTGTTTCTGTGCAATCATGTCTGACTTAATATCCAGTGGCTATATGTTGACATCATTCTAAACCAAAGTTGGAGCACCTCTTTAACTACAAGGTTGAATTCCATTTTGAAGACACTCTTAGGAGTCACCTTCCATTAATGGCCAGGGCCAACGTGAAGAGAGGCAGCATAAAAATGCCAACATATTTTAGTTTAGCAACAATAGCTAACCTTCAGGAGAGGCATTTCAAATTTTAACAATGAAGAGTGTGCTAAATGATGCATTAAACCAGGCTTCACCAACCTGATGCTGTCCAGAAGTTTTGGACTTCAACTGTTATTAACCCCAGCTGACATGGTTGATACTCAAGAATACTGGGAATTGTAATCCAGAACATCTGGAGTGTTCCAGGTCAAGGACTGCTGGTTTGAACCATGGTATGACAGAAATAAGTGAAGACTCTTCTTGGCTTAGGTGCTCCCCAGTTCTTTTGCTGAAAAGAAACATTTGCTTCCAAGTTTAGTGAACCACAGCTTCCGGTGATGTCTAAATGACAAGCATGCTTAATAAAAAGTAAGAGCTCCCAAAGTCCTCTTCCTGGCTGTATGAGAAGACAAAAGGGTAGGAGGAACATCGGAGCCCGTGCCAGTGTGGTGCAGTGGCCACGCGCGTGGGGCTGGGGCTGGGGCTGAGGCATTCTGGGTCCTAGTCTGCACTTGGCCATGGAGGCAACTGGGGCCCACTCACCACTAGAAGGTGACTCCAGAGAACTTCCCTCAGATTTAGCCCTTGGGCTGCACTTGGTTGCATGTCCAGGCTGCAAGGTCTGCTGTTTGAAGGGAAGGAGAGAGGGAAGTTACATTGGGAAAAGATACAAGAGCTGTTTGGATCCTGTGTTGAGGCGGGGCTTTCAGACAAGGTTTTTGCCCTGCAGCTGCCCGGCTGTATCCCTGGATTGTTTCAGGGGGTGGAGATTACATTTTCTCCCAGCGTGTGACCCTCCCATTGCTTCTTCCATCTTTCTTCATTTCTTCCAAAAAAAAGGAAGTAAAGTTGGAATAACTACTTTTTATTAGTGGCATTTTGTTCTATCCAGAAGCATCAAATATGCTAGATGTTTGGCATAGATCATACCAATATTAACCACTCATCACCTATTAGCTATTCCTTTGTAGCACCAGTGAAAACACACTTTCTGTGGCACCTTTTTGTAATCTTAGGGCTCTGTTGTATGCATGCTAGGCAGAGAAGTGTCCTATCACTCCTGCAGTGCTGGGAATTGCAGGACTATCTGGTTGTCTAAGCATGCATAAGATTGTACCCATAAATACCAATCTTGCTTTGCTATCACTTTAGCTCGGGGCTGAGATGGGAGCTAGAGCTGTCAGTCATCTAGAAGAAATTAGTGATGAAGGTATCACTGCACTGGCTCGGGCAAGGTGCGCTGCTGTCCTCTTACCAACCACTGCCTACATACTGAGGTAATGCTAATTTGTATGAGGTTGTGCTTTTGTGTTCTGTTATTTGCACTAGACAGATGCCACACCTTTGAGATATTATTCCTGGGAGACAAACATTGCCTCCCAGTTCCCATTAGAATCAATGAATTATACAGGTGTGCCCAACACATGCGAAACATCCCAAGAAAAAAGCAAGGAAGCTCACATGAACTGGAACCCCACATGAGGAGTATCTGAGCGATGGAGTCTTGAGGGAAGGTTCCTCCCAGCTGAATGTGTGAATGGGGGCATAGGACCATGGTACTGAATGATTGAATTGGTTGACTGAATTCAACCATGTTTTGCCCAGTTGTGCTCCTGCCCAGCTTCTCCTAACAGCCACACTGTCTGGCAACAAAGGGTGTTGCAGTCCAACATATTTGTTCTTACTTCTGCCCATTTCAGAAGTTTGAAAGTGCTAATTTAACACCCAAGTTAGCAGTCCTATAGGAAGTTACCTACAGGTTAGCCCTGCTTGAATGTGGATGGGTTACCTGCATATAACCATGCAGAGGATTGCACTGTAAATCATTTTAAAAGGCTCTTTCTAGTCCTGATATTTCAAAAGAAAAAAATGCTCATCTTAAAAGTCATGAAAGCAGTAGGTGCTTGTCACTGCTAACACAGTGGTTTTCAACCACCATTCGGTAGACCAGCCCCAGTCCACCAGAGATTTCCTGTCAGTCTGTGGCGAGGCCCCAGCCTGCTCACCACAGACTGGCGCGGAGGCTGACTGTGTCCCAGCACCTCTTCCTCAGTCGGCATCACGTTCGCAGGCGGTGTGCCGGTCCTGCCAGGTGGGCCGGGGAGGGGAGACATGGCTCAGTGGAAGCCAAACCGCTTCAACGTTGGTATTTTGTTCTTTTGTTGTCATTTTTTGTTGCTTGGTTTCTGGTTGTTTTGGAAAATTTTCTTTTTCTTTTTTGGTATTGCGTTTGGAAACTAATGCACAGAATACATTTTGTGCATGGTGCTTTCTGTTTCTTCCTCAGCAGTCCCCAAGGTTGTTTTCCTGTTTTCGCCGTCCCTGAGCTCTGGAAATGTTGGAAACCACTGTGCTAACAGTTTGTAACTATGACAATTTAACTTCATTTTCTTCCTGGAATATTTCTATTTCTATTTATGAAATGCCTGGATGCATCTTATATTGCAATATAAATGATAACGCACAGTGTTCTTTTCTTAGATTAAAACAGCCTCAAGCTAGAAAAATGCTAAAAGAAGGAGTGATTGTTGCCCTTGGCAGTGATTTTAACCCCAATGCTTATTGTTGTTCGATGGTAAGAAATGGATTTAGAGGCTCTTCGCAGATACAAAATTATTCATTTTCTTTTCTCGGTACATTTCATTTTTTGGAGTAGCAGACCAGGTGAATTTAATGATGCCCTGCACTGAATTGACACATGAATGGTGGCCGTTGCATCATTGCATCCTGGTCTGCTTGGAGCAGGCGGCTATCCAGCAGGGCATTCAGGGGCAGCACTCCCAGGAGGCAGGATGAAGGCCCCCTTCAGGCAGCAGAGCAGGAGCAACAGCAAGTTGCACCACTCCTTCGGATGCCTCCAGTGGATACTCTGGAGAGCACCGTTAGCTGCTGTCCTGCCAGCATTTGCTGCAATGGCCAAGTGGAGCCCGTTGAGCTCTCCAGAGCAGCCACGGGCTCAGCAATACTAGCGGCTGTGCTGGAGGGTCCTACTAGTCCTACTGCAGACGATGCCACAACCTGAAGGCAGCCAGCTGGACTATTTGGAGCGGCTGCCAGCCCTGGCTAGTATGCTGAGAATCCTCTTAGCGAGAGTCCGGCAGCGGGGAGAGCAAGCTGGGGCAGCCTCGTGAGGTTTGCACCCACCATACCTTAGGGCCATGTGGCTTTCCAGAGAACTTTTGTGGTGGCAGTAATAAGGGTAAGGGGGTTGTGGGTGCATGGCAAGGGAACAAGGAAAGCAGTGGGGCCAACCCGTGTGCCTTGTGGCCTCATACAGGAGGAGAGCTCGTGCGAAGACCGCGGGGACTGCAGAGCATGTTGCCAGGATGGCTTGAAGGAAAAGTGAAATTTGTCGTCAGAAACTAACCTATGTCATAGTGAGGTCAGAGGCTTCCCAGTTGCCCAGCAGTGCCAGAGAGATGACTGAGGAACAAATAGGGTTACATTTATTCATTTCTGGTATATTTTCTCCCTTTTGCTAGCTTATGGTAATGCACCTGGCCTGTGTAAACATGAAAATGTCCATGAAAGAAGCTTTAGCTGCTGCCACCATTAATGCAGCTTATGCTCTCGGAAAATCAGACTCACACGGCTCCATAGAAACTGGCAAGCAAGGAGACCTCATTATTATAAATTCACCGAGGTACGTGTGTACATTGTTCTTAATTAATTTTGGAACAGGGAGTCAATTGTGTGCCCTTCCCCCAAATTAAGAACATAATCTTATGCATGTTTAGACAGAAAAAAGGCCTATAATTCCCAGCCAGCCACATGGGACATGCTGGAAATCGTGGACCATTTTTCTGTCTAAACTCACATAGGACTGTGACTTAAGTAGTAGAACAGTCTGGATGACAACAATTGGGATTTTATCATGCATAATAATAACAGCAACAGTACTAGAATCAATTTGAATGCAATATTTTACTTTTCATCCAATGCAGAATTTTGACAAGAAAAGAAAACAAGGAAAACCCTAGCTTTGGCTATGGCCAAAGCTCCTTTTCATTCAACAGATGTTGGTCCACTACCTAGATGCCACCATACCCTGAGAGATGTGTTATCAGCAACTGTCTGAGGAACCACTACATGTTCAGCTGTTTTCATGGAAACTGGACCGCTGTGCCTGTGGGAGCAGCTGTACATGCGTTGGCACCCTTCAGACTGACTTTGGTTATATGTCGCTTATGGGCATGGTTGGCATATGCATCAGCATCTGGCGCTCATGCTCTCGATAGCCTTTCCAGGGGATCAAACATTTGAATGGGGCAACCTGGTTCTACTCATCAGTTAGCTAACATACCCTAATCTGAACCAGTGTGGATCACGTGGGCTCCGATACATGACAAGGGCGTCCCAGACGCTTGGCTTCACTTTAAGAAAGGTTCTTGCTTGGTTGGCACCTCCCCTCCAGTGCTGCCAGCTTTTAAAATAAACATTCTGGTACCGAATGAGAATTGTGGTCAAAGCCCTGTGAATGAAGTGCTTTGGTTGGAGCAGATCTAGGGGTGGAGCGGAGAGTTGTTGTTCCAGGACAGATGGCAGGCCAAACTTCACAGCTGAAGAGCTTCCTCAAATGCTAATGTGTGATGTGATGTATGACCGAATGCATTCACGTGTACCTGAAGAATGCTAAACTATTAGGGAAAGGCATTCTAAATCTACCTTTTCTCTGGAATGCTAATTTTAATATGCAAAAGTGAGAAGGTATGTAGATAGAAGTATGTGTGTATAACTGAAGGAGATTTTACGTATGGGATCCTTGGCCTGCACTCTGCATGATTTTTTTGTTTGGTTTGGCTCTTCTGCTCCTTATTTTGTCCAAAATATAACATATTTTCTTGTGTTTAAATATGATATGTATTTCATAACATCTCTTTAGATGGGAACACTTGATCTACCAGTTTGGCGGCCATCAGGAACTGATTGAGTGTGTCATCGTCAAAGGAAAGATTGTCTACAAAAATGATAGCATTTTGGACTTTTAGGTACTTCCTGTAAGACTGAATACAGCAGTTGCCAGAATATCTAAAGCACACAAAGAGCAGTAATCAACAATGTCTCTCAGCTATATGGAAAATGAACATTAGATCACATCTGCTTGCATACTCTAGATTTTTATTTTCCTTCTTTCATGGTACCCTCAAACTTTTGTTGCCTCAATCTTTTCTTCCATGTTACCCTCAATATTTTCAGGGGAAACTATGAAATAAATAGGCATGTGAATAAAATTGTCTCTGGCTTTATCTCTTGAAGATGATACTCAGTGTATAAAAGAAATCAACGAAATGTATTTCAGGGAGTCCTTGCCTGTGCCAGAATTTTTCACAACTCACATTCACTAATAACATCCATGCTGAATGAGGAAGGATTCAAATGATGGCACAACTACTTTCTAAGGCTATTTTCTGCTTGTGGTTCTTTTGCACTGTTACGACCCTACAAATGACAAATTACGTCGCAGGAGAACTTCACAAAGTAGTTTGTGCTATGGCAATGGAATCCATGGTGCAGCAAGAGATGGACCTCACGGCCAAATCAAGGGCTCCAGAGCCCAGGCTGATCAGTATTCACAGAATGGCAGGTGGCAGGGACTGCGGCAAACAGGCCTGGCATTAGCCTGCTGAAACCCACTGGGGCTGATGCTGATTACAGCAACATCCTTCCTTCTCAGTTGAAAATGTTTTATATAACTGATATAGCCAGCTACATGGCTACAGATGGTCATTTCATCCCTCTTTCAAATATATTCTGCATTTCTAAAGCAAAGTGGTTTGAAGCAAACTCCATGTTATCGTTATAGTCATGATAGTGCCACGATTTAAGCAAGTTAAAATGCAAAATGAACAGCACATAATCAGAATATTTCTTTAAAAAAAATCAAGACTGCCAGACAGCTCTCAGTCCCCCGCACCCCATTCCCCACAGTGCAATCTATCAGCAATGAAATGGTACAAGGAGAAAGCTTTGTTATCTGCTTCACAACTGAAATAATACACACAAGACTCTAAGACGATTGAGCCCTTCCAGGCAGGGAGAGCTGTAAAAGGCTTCCTATTTGGGCATTGGCTTTCCCTGAGCAACAATGGGCAGCCTGACTCTGATATTTTGGTTTCCTATCTGGCTTTGACTGATCTGATGACCACCTGATTCCATCCACCTTTGACCTGTTGGTGCAACTCATTCCAGACTCTGCCACCCATGACTTAGCCCTTCAGCACACTTAAGTGCATCTAAGGTAACTCTTTGGATTCCAGTCCATTTGGTGCTTCTGCTGATTGCTTGAAGAGCTCATCTCAGTCTGGGAGAAGGAAAATTAGAACAGTGTGGAGATGTGATGAATCCTCTCCCCTTTCAGACTGGTAACATATCTGCAGCTTCCCTGGAAATTTTAAATATATATACTCCACTGCATTCTTTTTTGCACAGGGCAAATATGTACTAGCAATAAAACATCAAGAACAAGCAGATTAAAATATCTAATTACTATGTGCTAGAGTTACATACTACACTCTCTAGTGAAGTACATTTTTAATATTCTTTTTTGAAGGAGTAACTAGGGAATAGGCAGATGACAATAGATCCACGTATTATGAAAACCTGTGTCTAAAAAATGGGTCAGCATAGCCTTACGTATGCTGGCAGCCAGTCCAAAACTGAAGATATAGGCTACACAGATATGAAATATTGTCCCATTGATAGCTGTACATGTCCTTCCAGTGTTAATATGCCTTTAGAGCTCCTTCTGCCATTATTTTAAGGCATGGAAATCACATCAGACGGTTCTGTCTGCACCTGTCAGGTAAGATTTGGAGAGACGGATCACAGAGGAAGAGCTCTGCAACGGTTCGTCCTCATGCTGGTGCTGTCCTGGCCTGAGAGAAAACACAGGATGGGCTCCTCCTACATAGCTTGGGTCTGCTGAGCCACCACCCTCAGCATGGCAGCTATCGGAGCCTCAGCGTTCATGTTGCTGGACTTTGAGCCTGGGTTTGATTACAGCACCGCTTGTTTTGTTTGTTCTGGTTGCTTTGGTAAAACCCGTGTGCCTCCTCACCACATACACACACAGACCCAAATCGATCACAAGTCCTAGGTGCTTCACCCTCTTGTTTAGTGTCTTTTTATTTTAGTTTCAGCTTTTGTTTACAGGTCTGCAGCTTGACAACATATTCCAGTGGCAATGAAGAAACGAAAATGGGCAGCACAAATTCATGGAGCACCGTGGCATTTCTTTGCCAGTGTGAGGAGGAAGATGCACAGATTAGATAGAATTGCATCATTGTAATTCAGCTTTGAGGCATGATTAAACAGAACTCTAGAGTGTTTTTTTGATGTAACAGACAAGGAGTCACTGAAAAGACTGAAAAATGAGTCTCAGTGAAGATTGCTAAATTAGAGTTATTGTTTTTGTAAATTAAAACAATTTGCTAATTTCATTTGGCTAAATTCCAGCTTGATATTAGTAGGGTTATTCTTATATTCATAAGTGAATACCCACACTTGCATTTTCCACCCCCACTCTCATCCCCTCATTTCACTCTGCAGCTAAAGATTTGGCCATCCTATTATTTTTGTCAATAGTTCACTGTTCTGCATTTTCTCAAAACTCAGGCATATTTCCAGCATTGAACTTGGCTCTTTTTGCCTTTGGAATAAAGTACAGAGCATGGGATTATTATTTAAGTAAACACACAAATACCAAATTATCTAACAACTGAAATACCAAAGTGAATTTGTTTGCTTTTACTGTTGATCAGATTCTTCTGAATCACTATGATGATGTTTGTGGTGATGTGAAATGTTTTTGCTTGTTGCTAAGGAGAAGGCAGTGGGAGAGACCGGTCTGAACTCAGGAATGTGTTCCTTTCTGTATTTTTCAATGTATGGTACAGCTACATTCCAGACCTATAGCCAGAAAAGAGAAGACATGACTAGAGTCAAAAGCAAAGAATTTGAAACTTAAGCAAAGGTTTGGACAAGTATCCAAAATGTTAGTACAGTAATGCAAGTTGTGTTGTGGAGCCAGGGTTGTATGGTTGCAGTACTCCTATTTTTTGGGTAGAAGGGAAACATCTACCACCTCCCACTCATTCTTAGGGATGTTGGGGAAATTCACAATGGACTCAAATAATTTTGAATTCCTAAGAGTCTTACCAGAAGATTTTACAGAGGACCAAGTTTTCTCAAGTTATGCAAATATTTACAAAAATCTTGCTTATACAAATATATGAAAAAGCATTGACAAAAAAGTGCAAAAAATATGCACTTTGGAGGGATTTGCACATTTTGGAAAATTTGTTTACAAACAGATTTTTGCAAAATTTGATTTGATCAATGAGTAGAAAATAGAATGAAAGCTGCCTGACAATCCACAAATTGTAGACCTAATGGAGTTTAATGTGTCCATACATCTCACAGATCCATGTTCCTTCTGAACTTAGCCACAGTCTGCATAGTGGCTGGCAGGAAATAAGATTTTCCAGCAACAGCAAATTGTTCCTTGTTGTAATATAAGGTATTTAGAGATGGCTTGGTCTTGAATAGGCAGTTGAAACGCCATTAACTTTAGAAAGGACTTGCTCATGGCAGATGAAAACTCATAGAATTGGTTTGCTGTTGTAGATTAAAACAGCTGTCTGTAATGTTGATTTCTTCTTGGGCCAATGGCTATGGGGATTGTCTTGATGGCCACGGGATAACACAGAAGAGCAGGCTTGCCCTTTCTCCAGATATGCTGAACTCCATCTGCAACAATTTGTAGCCAGTATGGCCAGTGTGTGTAGAAAGCTGCAGTAAACCTAAATGTTACAAATCAGCAGAAACTACTGTGTGTAGAAATAAGCTACATATGGCTGTTCAAAGAAGGAGACTCTGTGGGCACATTTGGAAGGCCCAAGTCAGAAGTGGACTACATGTACAACCCCTTGCAGCCCTATTATAACAATATGGTGCGGGGGTGGAATGGAAAGAGGAAGCCACCTTTTGTGGTTTACTGCTTTTGGAAACAAACACTAAACAAAACACAGGAAGCTGCAGTATAGCAAATGTGATGTCTTTTCTCCACACCACCACACGCAAACATAAATAGATAGAGACGCGCACACTCATACACACAAACAGACTGATACTTGAGGTGTTATATCTAAATTTTATGTTTTGCATTAGAACATGGATGGAAAGGAATAAACTATTCTGAGGGCAGTGGTGTAATATAAACTCTAGTAACATGGCTGATGTCCTACATGTTCTTTTTTTAAACAGATTGATTAAATATGAGCCTTTCTAATTATCACAATTACAAACTTCATGATAGAACTTAGGCCTCATAGAAACTCTCCTTTCCCTCATTTCTGCACCCCATATAGACTTGGACCTGACTTACTGAACATTGTTCTCACTTAAAATAGAAAATGTATTATATACCTGCTGTGCCTGTCCCTGAGGTATTTATGCCGAGCATTGTTTTAGTATAATTATGTGCGGTGCTTTTTTTGTAAAAAAAAAAAAAAAAAAAAGGTGCCGGAACTCACGTCCCCACCGGCAGTAAGCACTCAGCGTGCTGTGCGACCACACACACCAATCCCAAGCCGAGCAGCGGAGCAGCATCCCAAACCGAGAGCAGCACCCCCACTGTCTCACTGTCAGATAGCAGACACAAAAGCAGCCTTCAGGCACTATGTTAATGACGTTTGCTGCTGATTTGCTACGATTCAAAATCACGTTGTAAAATCCATTGGAAAAAAGGTCCCGGTGCATTCTATGACAAAAAAAGCCCTGATTATGTGAGATTTTAACTGTTTGAAGCTCCCTTGAGCAATGCATTCTCACTAGAAGGGCAGGACAGGAAGCTTTGCATAAGTGATAAGTAAATACTTACCAGATTTTTAAAAATGCACTAGTCCAGTTCCAAGTACAAAGCATCATGCTGGTAAATGCCTTCGTGGCTAAAGACCTGTTTATCTCAAGGGCTGCTCACTTCCTCATGAAACTGCCCACATGTTGTGAATTTCCTCAAAGACTGACAGATGGTGTTCCAAGATAGGGCCTTTTCAGTCACAAAACCCTCTCTTTGGAACAACCTCTCCAGAAGTCACACCATGTGAAGACCATTTTATTTACTGATGCTTTTTAAGAGGCTGCTTAAATCTTATTTGGCTATGATTTTAATATTTGGCTTTATTAATGTCCTGATTTACTGTATTTGTGGTCTCAATGCTTCATTCTCATTCTCTTGATTTGGAACCCTTTGGTTCCAAGGGTTGAAGAGCAAGCTAGACACAGAAGAAATGAACAAATGTGGTCTGCCTGCCAAGCCATTGCCATCCATAACTTCTTTCACTTCCTCATAAGCACTGGCTACTTCCCTCGTAGCTCCTCACATAAATGGAGCTACAGATTGCTGTGCTCTGCAAGTTTCATGAGGATAGGACTTCCTCCAGCCTTGAGTTAACCTAAGTTCCTTGAGAACAAATTCACTCTCCATACAACATATATTTTTCTTTTCAAACTGAAACTACTAGAGACAAAAGCTCTAATAAGAACTAATAACAACACACCAAAACAGACAGACAGACAGACAGACAAACACCCCAGAAACAAAACCAGGTTATAATTCTAGGGAACTGCAATGTATCTACATCAATGCCCAGCACATGGGGAATAAACAACATGAAATTGAACTCAAAGTACATGAAGGCAACTATGATCTTGTGGCAGTTACTGAAACAAGCTGGGATGATTCTCACAGTTGAAGTTCAAAAATTGATGGATGCAACCTTTTCAAGAAAAATAGAAGGGATAAAAGGGGAGGAGGAGTTGCACTATACATTAAGAATATTTATATCTGCAACGAATTATAGGAGGAGGAGCCAAGTAGCCACATCAAGTACATCTGGCTCAAGAGCAGCAAAAAGCCATAGCAACATAGTCATTGGTGTCTACTACCATCCACCAAATCAAAGAGAAGACAAAGACATTATCTTTGAAAAACAGTAAGTCAATGTGGCTACAAGACATGACATGGTCATTATGAGTGATTTCAACTTCCCTGATATTTTTGAGGAGACGCATTCAGTCAAGCATGGCCCCTCCAAGAGAGTCCTCACATTTACGGCCAATAGCTTCCTACAGCAGAAAGTGCAGCTGGCGTCCTGCACTAGCACAGGGTTGGCTTGATGGCCTTCCTGACCCCTTCTGACCCAGCTGTTCTGCAAATCTATGAATCTGTGTGAATCTTCATATAATCTGATGTATTGTCATGTGCACGAGGATAAGAACATTATGTAATAATTTAGTCATTAGCTTCCAGTGCCAGCACTTGCCTTCTGATCCACAAGTAGTCTGTGAGCAGCCTCGACATCAGGCGCCATGAAGCGATCTTTCATCCAAGGTCTGAAAGGAGACAAATCGAACCATTCCTAAACTGAGTGGTGGCTGTGGTGGTTAATATTTGGCAAATGTTCTCAAAAGCTGTAATCTGGGAGAAGTGTTTGTTTGACAGACCTGACAACAGAGCGCACAAGGTCATATACTTTCTCCAATGGGGTCGTAGTTCTCAGGGGGCGTAGGAACTCAATGCCTTGGCATGCTGCAAGGAGTTCTATAGCCAACACTAATGAGTAAAAACAGTGAAAAACAGCATGTTGAATTCACACTTGCTTCAAAGCAGTTCAAATATTGCACATAACAGGTCAACATGTTCTCTTAGGGCCAGTTTACACATTCAAACTGGCATTTGAGAGTGTGGATCGAACAGATTTTGTGGATAGTTTGCCATATGAAACAGCTTTATGAATCCTTCACCTCTGTGTCTGGCGATGCAAGAAGTCCCTTTGTAAGCTGAATGTTAGAAAAAAGTTTAAATCTGCTTTCCTGTGTAGTGTGCTACTATTTTGGATCTTTTACATACATATATATTTATTACACATTATATGTGTATATTTTACTCTTGCCTGTACACTGCAACATGGTGAGAGTTTAAGAGGACCAGAGAAGAGAACAACTTTGTTGCCAGCTGTCTCTCACTAGTGCCATACAGCAATTTATTAGCTTGATATGGGACTAAAATTTCTCTAAAACTTAATCCCACACTGGTTTATTTATATACCACACTTTCAAAAATATGTCACACTTAAACTCATTCAAAGAATAGGCAATTTAAGCAGAATGAGTATTAACAAATACAAATACATTACAACATACCACTGATATTTCAAGAACTAGAATGTAGAATATATCCAACATTAAAATGAACACCAACTTCCACATGCACATATCTTGAGGAAGAACCATCTTCCTGTTGCATGGCAGGCCCTGTCTGGATTTATTTGTGGTGTGACTTAGTTTCTTATCATTCTAGCTCTGCGAACATGCAAGAGTAATGTGATGAAATCCCACCAATTTCCATGGAACGTAAAGCCAAGTAAGCCTTAGCAGATGCTGCTATCTGTTAGGCTCACTGTATCTGCAAAAAGGTGCCTCTGACTTTACCTTGCTCAACATGTTCAATGACTTTGAGTGCTTTTCTTGCAGCCCATCCTCCCATGGAGACATGGTCCTCTGTAGCAGCACTGGTTGAAAGAGAATCCACAGAAGAGGGGTAGCACAAGGCTTTATTCTCAGAAACTGCAAAAGTCCAGTAGGAATAAATGGTGCCTTCCAAAGCAAGCCATCATTAGAACAAGGTCCCACTTTAAACAACAGTCAACCATGAGAGATCTTTGTCATAGTATCCTGCACAGACCACTAGTATTATAATAGTAATACGTAGCATCTCTATAGCATTGGTCCAGGATTTATTTGCTTCAAATGTGTACACTGTCAGAGAAGGATATGGCCCCCATGTGCAGCTTTTGGACTTCTCATAAGCTTCTGGCTAACCATGAGTGCAAACTGGATGTGGGACAAGATGGAGCCAAAGTCTGATCTAGCAGAGCTGTGAGCCAGTGTGGCGGGGTGGTTAGAATGTTGGACCGGGAAGCTGGGAGAGCAGGTTCTAGTCCCTGCTTGTCCATCAAACTCATTGGATCACACTGGGCCATTCATGGACTTGCAACCTAAGCTACCTCACATGGTTGTCGTAGGATAATATGGGGTGGAGGAAGACTATGTAAGCTGCCTTGGGTTTCTTGCAAGAAGAAAAAGACAAGATATAAACGTAATATAAACATGAAAGGAAAAAGGTGGGATATAAAATAAATAAGAACAACATGTTTAATGTTCTTAAAGCTTCCTATGCATTATTTCAGTACTTACAACAATCCTGTAAAGTAGGTCACTATTATTCTTATAATGCAAATGGCAGAGGTCCTGAGACTGAAAAAATGGTGGCTTGCCAAAAGTTTCCTAACATTGGCAGAGGTGAAAGCTGAACTAGAGATTTATTGGTTCATTTATTGGTCTTTTAACCATCACAATGACCAACTTCTCTTCATTGAAGTTATTATGGTTGCAAAACTATATTAATACTTACTGGGAGTAAACCCACTGAACAAAACAGGACTTAAGATGCCTATGATTGCACTATATAGTTATTATTTTAATTATGTAATCAAGAATAGTTAGTTATGTACTCAAGAGTTATGTAATCAACGTTCAAGATATTTTTTTCCAAGAATCATATTTACGTAACAGCAAGCTGCAGTTCATGGCTAGGTAAAGAAAGCTGAATATATATGAAGCAGTATTAGATATACCCTGCCATTATTGAATCAGAAGAATATTGTGCATATGGACCAAAACATTTTGATAATTATTTCTTTTGCTTGCATGACATTCTACAAGCTGAATGCATGGAGGAGAGCGGCGATCTATGGCTGTAGAAGATTACTTTTTTAGATTGCGTTTATAATGCAAGAACAGCAGGGAGAAGATGTAAGATATTAATGCGGTCAGAGTATATAGATAAATGTATGAGATTAACACCCTGACAATCACACAATAACAGACACACACAGTATTCAGGTGATGGAGATGGAAATTAGTACAAGAAGAGTGGTCAGAGTAGGGGACAAACTTCAGGTTACTGGGTTAGTTTGAAAGGTCTGGGTGTTTCCTCTCTGGAAGCCCCTCAGCCCTCCGTACTCACCCAGGGCTGCAGCTGTGCAGTGAGCAATCATGAAGCCAGAGTTCAGACCACCTTCTGTGACTAGAAATGGTGGCAACTCACTGAGGGAGGGATTGCAGAGTCGTTCAATTCTTCGTTCACTAATTGCAGCAAGTTCATGGACACCAATTGCAAGATAGTCCAGAGCCTACAAAGTAGTACTTTTAAATTTAGCGTGTTCAGCCCAACTCAAAATGCAAGGTGGCAGAACTGGAGGAAGAAATTCTGGTCAATTACCTTGGCAGGGTATTCGCCATGGAAGTTCCCTCCAGAAATGGTCTCCTTCCTCTCAGCAAAAACCATCTTTTTAAGATGAGTTAAGACTTCAGCATTAATGAGAAATGCTTACAAAGATAATCTTTGACCACAGTGAGACCCATAACAAAAATAAAACAGTTTTATTTATTAAAATATAAAGGTAAGATGCAGAGAAAATCATCTCCTGCAGAACTTAATAAGCAAGCAGGCTCAAATGGGAAGACGGGAGATGCTGTTTCAGGTGTTTTGGGGTATCCTCCCGCAATCTCCCACAGATATTTTGCATTCCAAGCCCCATCAATCCCAGCCAGCACATCCAACACATCTGAATGTTGAACAGATCTAAGAAGCACCAAAATGGAGAAGGCTGCTTTAGGACTTGAAAGATAAGACTTAAAATCAGCAGCAGTCACAACACAACTATGTGCATAAATGAATTAGGGAATAAATACATTTCCCATACTGCAATATAACTATAAAGGAGCACTTCTCTGAGTAGTTATTTTTCTGGAAAAGCTGTTACAGGAATTATTTAGTGCACAGGCCGCTGTGAGTTTTAATAACAAAGCTATAGAAGGAGGGGAAACAAATATTTTATTCCTGACCATCATAATCTTTAAAAAAAGATACAGGATTGTCTGTTGCACTGTTAATTTCCGTGGTGATTATGTCTTTTACAAAGGCGATTGTGTCATTTGCAATCCCATGAACCTACATGAAATGACAAACATTAGCTGTATTTCATTCCTCTTGATAAGTTACGGGATTCCCCATATGTTCTTACTCAGACCCTAAGATTGTCACCTGAGACCCTTCTCAGAGAGTCCCCTCTGAAGGAAATGAAGAGGGTGGCTATGAGGAAAAGGGCCTTCTTGGTGGAGGCACCCCGAGTCTGAAATCAGCTCCCCAGAGAGGTTCACCTGGTGCTCTCTCTTTACTCCTTTTGAGACCAGGCAAAGAGCTTCATTTGCCCAATATTTTAATAGATTAAGTAATTTTTAGACATTTTACATGATATTTATTGTATTTTAGTGCTACTGTGCCCTTGGCTTATTTGAAATGTGGGGTTTTTTCTTGTTGCTATTTTCTTGTTGTAAGCATTTATGCTAGATTTAATATTATTGTTTTATTGTGTATGTTGTTCTTTCATATTTCTGTAAGCTGCCCAGAGAGTCATCTTGGCTAATCTAATAAATAAATAAATAAATTCTGTCCTGCTTCATGGCCTTCCACCTTTGCTTACCTAATGGAATACAATCTTCTTACTGACCTGTAAGCCTCTGTTAAAGCACAGCATTTTCTGAGTAAGACCACTCTCACTCCGTAGTCTGTAGTGTGTGTGGCAGGAACCTTTTGATTTGCTGGAAATGGCTGCTTTTGGAATGTTAGTTTTACCATACAGTTAGATATTCACTGTGATTGTTATAGGAACAGATAATTCTAGAATGGTTCTAGTGGCCTCCCTTGACAAATGCAAGGGAACACATCCATAGTTCTGCATATTTAAAATTCCATTTGTGGATTTTTGTGTAGCCCCAGGAATTGTTTAGCCAATTCCTAAAGTGTGCTGGGGTTTTTAATTCCAGTTTTACTCTAGTTCACTCACGGAGCTGGTCTAATTACTGTTGACATGGAAACGCTATTGAGATCCTGACTATGCGCATCTGAAAGCATCTGCAACCAGTTTTACCTGAGGACAGCAACGCAATGTGTATGCATCTTGTACTCTGTCACAAAATCTATGAGATTCTGCAAAACACAACAAAACAAGGAAGGTTATCATTTTAATACTAAAGATCTCTGGTATCAACGTCAAATATGAGACTTGCCCTGGGGTATGGTATATTTGGATATTGAACAGCCTTGTAATTGGTTTTCATGTTTGCTGCTTTGGATTCACACATGTAGACTCCCAGGTCTATTTTATTTTATAACACTTCATACCATTGGTAATTTATACCATTAGAAGCACTGTCCTGAGACTTGCTTATTGCCAGATGGCACAATAAATGTAGAATGTATAGCCTTTGAATATACATAATGCATTCCACTTCTCTGTGTGGGGTTTTCAAAGCAAGAAGTAGTGGGCCAGACCTTTGTAGTAACTTACAAGAAAGACCTTTGAAGTAACTGAATTTGTTCTGGAAGCTATGCAGAAGGACAGAAATGTGTCTCTGTGGGGAATAAGAGTCATCCTTTGGACATCGAAGGAGAGAAAGAGGAAAGAAATGATGAGAAGCTCATGTGGCACTGAAAAAAGTTTTACAGTTGCCCTATGCATTTCAGAAATATCCTGTTTCAGGGGCTGAAAAATCATCTGTTTGATTTTGTTCAAGATCATTGGTTTCTGTGCCTTCAGCAATTTATGCCCAGATTTAAATAAAATTATTCTGTAATTATGAGGAATAGAAATGGTCCTGTTCAATTAAACAAAGTGAAGATCCTCAGATGGAAAAGAATTTGCATCAGATTTCTTATGCAGGTATACCAAGTGTGTTTCTCAACCAAACTCAAATGCTTGTTCACCTGCTATTTCAGAGGGATGATGGTCAGAGTTTAAAAGTGACCTAAATCGAAAAGCCACCTCAATCTGCCCACGATGTGGTCTCAGTGCATGAATATCTGTTTTAAAATAAGAACAAAGTGTTACAGCAGGGCACTTTTCCCTTTACTTTTCCAAGCAACACTAAAAACATCTTTTGATTCATTTTCAAAAGCTAGTTCTGTGAAATATATAGCAGAAAACAACGACAGTAACAGAAATCTAAATGATATTCCATTAAAATGTAGTAATTTACTGTGAATTACCTTGCATTTTCTTTTCCTCTCAATAAATATGATCCAAATGATATGCAATGCAAATGGCACCTGCCACGAAATGGAGCCATGGGGAAATGCTGCTGTTCAGGGTTCCAGCCAGGCATACTCTTTTCCTAGGATAATATGTTCCATTCCCCTCCTCCAGATTTTTGTCAGCTCCACCACGCTTGCCAGTTCACATTCTATACTTATTCAGTCCTTTTTAAATCTGTTCTTGATTTCTACCCACTTGCTGTTTTTTTCTGTACATCTCTTTCTAGATTTTTTTTCCTAAACAATTTTCATACTTCAACATACTTTAGGATTCCTCTAAGACTGCTCTTGTATATGTGACCTAAAGTAATGAATGAATGCATAAATATGCAGAAGATGTTTTTTTGGCTATGTAGGGAACCTTACTCAGAGAATGAATCCACTATATTTGTAATTGGTCACTTTTGAGCGTTACAGAAGCATAATTCTTCAACTCCTTTCCCCTGGAAATGGCCGACAGTAAAGATGATTTTTGTATTTTCTAAAAACTTAAAAAGAGCCCTGCCGGATCAGGTCCATCTAGTTTCACACAGTAGCCAGCCAGCTGCCCATGAGAAACCCCCAGGGAGCACAGAAGTGTAACACCCATGTTGCACTGGAGACAGCATATAAGCATCAGGACTAGTGGCCATTAATAGCCATCTCCTCCCTGAATTAGTCCAAACCCCTTTAAAACCACTCAAACTAGTGCCCACCACTACATGCTGTGGTTGGAAATCTCATCATTTCACTGCACACATCCACAATGAATGGTCAGTTAAGCCGAGCATGGCATCATCATAAAAAGGTGGGGAATACCAGACAAACTAAAGAAAGCTCCTTAGATTAAGCACTGTCTTCTGTGATCACTTCAAGAGTTAGCGGCTGTTAAACAGTTAGTACCAACCGGTATCAAAGGCTCTTGTTGTGCCCTTCAGGACTTCAAGTGTGAGAGCAGCCACTATATCAGCTTGTCTAGCAATTGCACTGGCCCTTTCCACAGCTTCGCATCCTAGAGAAGTAATCATCTGTGTTCCATTGATAAGAGCCAAACCCTTCAAAGAAACAGCAAGAGCAAAGCAATGATCACTAAGTTCTCAAGATAATCATGTAAAAGAGTCCAAAATGGGTGGGAAAGTTAAAAAAAAGAAAGAAAATTCTAAAGGCACTATTACAAATAATTCCTGCAAGAAATAGGGTACAGGGCAACAGAAGAAGGCAATGTGGCTTCATGAAAAACTTAGGGATGACCCAAAAATGAAAAAGCACACATAATAGGAAGTGGAAGGAAAGCCAGGCTACAGAGGAAAAGTACAGGCAGATAGGAGGTATGGCATCGGGGAGGCTAAAGCTAGCAAAGGATGTGAAAAGCAACAAAAAAGCCTTCTTCAGATGTGTCCAAAGTGAAAGACACGGGAAAGAAATGGGGGTCCAACTACTCAATGTGGATGGCAAAATGATAACAGATGACGAGGAAAAGGTGGAAATGCTCAATTCCTACTTTAGCTTAGTCTTCTCTATGACCTTCCTGATGAAGGGGAAGTACAAGCTGAAGGAGCCAGGATGGCAGCTCAAGACTGACAGGCAAATGGTCAAGGATCATCTAATTGGACTGAATGAGGTCAAATCACCAGGGCCTGATGGACTCCACCCTAAAGTTATAAAGGAGCTGGTGGAAGAAATCTCAGGACCACTGGCTTAAGAAATCATGGTGCTAGCAGTGACCAAGGCAAGTTCAAGAAGAACAGCAAAGTCTGCTATTCTTGCTGAGATCCTCTGTGGCTGGTGGACATTACCCATGGTGAGAGGAACTGTCTGGTTTTGGATGACAAAGCAACTCAGTTTGAGTAAAGCAATCCCTAGCATGGGTTCTCAAGGTGGTTTGTTCGGGAAACACACACACATGCTACAAGGTACTCTGTTGGATAAAAACCACACTAATACACAACTATGGTTTGTCAGCCATGGTGGTTTGTCATAGTATGCAAACCAGGTCAATGACTGGCACAAGGTCACCCAGCTGAGATTTGAACCAGAGTCTTCCTAGTGCTTTAATAAGTATTGGGCTGGATCAAGATGTAGGATTTTTTTTTTAAACTATTGCATTATTTACCGATATAGGAAGTTATCTGGGCAATAGGATTGCTGCTAAGAGTCAAATATGCAATTGTATTACCTCTTTTGGCTTCAGGATAATTGGCTTCAGCCCATGAGCTTCCAGCACCTGTGATGGGCAGTAAGAATCATGCTTATACAATGAAAAAACCCTTTTTCATTCTACCCAGTGACAGAACAGCACCACTGAATGCTAGAGCAGAACTAAGGATGCTTCAGGTCTGTTCCAGTTTTGGTTCTGTTTCTTAACCCCAGTTATGTCATACTAAAAATACACATAGGAGATTTCACATTTGTCATAGAAATATGGTTGGTATTACACTGAAAAATAAGGAACACTTAATGTGTGAGAAAAATATCGCAAGTATGCTTTGCACTGCTTGGTTAGGATTGTGACATCTTCAGGGAGCAGCCTAAAATGGCCTAAAAGATCAGTTGCCGGACGCGAGTTGTGGAATTCTTTGCCCTAAGAGGGGCAATTTAATGCAATGTGGCATTTTTCTGTAGCAATGGTGCTCTGTGAAGATCCCAAAGACCACCCAGAGAATGGCAGGGACAGTAGCAAACTCCATGGCATTCCTGTAGTTATAACGAGTGAGTTTTAAAAGTAAACTACCCCCTGCACAAGGTGGAAAGAATGAACTGCTTGGCCTTGCTGGGTGTTGTGCCAATTGTCAGTGAACAAATCTTCTCTCATCATTACTCCATTGTAACAGGAGAAACTGTTGATACTTATTCACTTTGTACATCTAGTATAAGGACACAAGAACTTTAGTTTCCATTTTAAAAAATTGAAAAGCAAGTCTGCAATGCACATTGAAAAGCAAATAAACCTTATTGGACCCAGTGGGGTTTAGTTCTAAGTAGACATGCATCGAATTACAGAAATGGCTGTTTCCATAGCCAATTAATCCATTGCACAAATTATTTCTCTCCGTCTTCTACCTACCATGATCTTATCAAATTCAACTCATTAGATGTACCATAGCAAAGCAAAAGGGAACAGCTGAGCATTCTTTAGCATCTTACATATTTTGCATCTGCCCATCCACTCTTTGGGGACCACATCTTTCCTTCCCCGATGAGTCCCAGAGCAAGATGGGAAAGAGGGGCTAAGTCTCCACTGGCTCCGACAGTCCCTTGCTCAGGAATGTAGGGCAAGCAGGATGCTGGGGGAGGGAGATAGAAAAACAGGCCTTAATTAAAGTTTTGCTTTCCTTGAAACAATGCACACCATAATTCACCCATTCTCCCAAGTTTTAGCAGTGAGTGTGACTTTCAGTAACCAGAAAGTGAAAGCCAAATCTCCTTTTCTTGGACAACCATGTCAGTTCCTCCACTCTTTTAATTCCTGACCACCAAGATTCCCTGCAAAACTTGTAGCACAGTAGCCTTTAAATTTATTAGACTCAGGATGCATCTTTAATCTCAGAGTGCAACTTGGTCTCGCTATTAGGTTTTTGCCATGCATGAGCTTTGGACCTGGGCGTGACCAGGGTCTTCCACTGATGACCAGTGGGAAAGGATCATCTACTTTTCAGAAAAGGAAAGTACAGCTTGTCAGAGTTATGTAGAATCAACTTGTTCTCTGTTTGGTCCATGTTTACTTGATCCCGAGGATTCTGGCTGACCCCAGCTTCAGAGGTTACTACTGTCCCATGATTAATGGAGCCCTTATGCAGTGATTACTTAGAATCATAGAATGGGATTGCTTGAATGAACCATGGAGGAAAACTAGTCCAATGTGTTGCTCATCATGAAATCTACAATGCAGGGTGGAATTGTAACTTCTCTAACAGATGGCTGCCCAGGCTTGGCTTAAATACCTCCATGTAATATTGTGTGATTGACTTCATTTCTTTTTCCTAGTTGTATTTTGATGAATTGCTTAATGTGTTGTTGATATTTGTGAATTCTTGATGGGAACTGGGTGTGGTCAAAAACTGGGAAAGCTTAGGATTCTTTGGCTCCTTGGACACTCCTTCCCCACTCACCAGAATACTCCAAAAATACAAATTCCTTTCTTGCTATGAGGTTGGAAACTTCTGCAGTGGCTGCGTGGAGCTAAAACAGGGCTCTGATGTCAAGTAAACTTTTTCAAGGTTGGAACTCTGTCTACAGCCTTGGAAAAGCTTTCCTGTACAATCACATGGCCCTTGAGATGCTGTCTAGGGACCATAGGATTACTCTTGGAAGGAGCCAAACCACAGCACTATGTACACTATAACTCCTCCTCTTTCTTTGCAAAATCTTTGTCAAGACCTTATCAAGAAAGGAAGAGGAATTATACTTTTTTGTACAAAAAGATATATTTATGCATCAGCTTTTGATGGGATCTTCATCGCTTTCAAAATGATTATTCTCCTTCAAAGCAGCAACTATTGCATTGAAAACTAAACCTCACAAAGATTCAGCCAAACAATGGTCATCTTACCATTAAATGCTTCAATTACTTGCTGAAGAGTTTCAAGTGAAATTCCACTGTATCCCTTTGCAAGGACATTGATCCTTAAAGCTAAAAGCATACGAGATCTCTCTGGAATCAAAGGCTTTCCAACACCTGGAAGGATAAACAATCATCCTCTAGATCATTGATATTCATTTATTTATTTGTAAATAATTTCAATATGTATGCCACTACAATAGCCCATATCTGGGCTTTCTGTGCGGCTTTGTGTTGCCTGCAATCATTGTGGGAAAATATTTGGAAATCAGCCGTTCATTACCTGCTGCATGTGACCGGACTAAATTCAGTTGAAGATCCCTCAGAGAGAAAAGAACAACATATTTATTTCAAATATTATTACAAAATATTTTATTGCAAGTTTGCAATAATATTAAGATTATTGCAAAAACTGAGCAAAATAAAAATTAAAGAAAACATCTTCACCTTCACATGATTTAAACTTATTTTATATAGTTGCTTTTTATAAACTTTAAAAGGAAGCATAGTAGACATACCATAGCTTACTGGTTGGAATAACGGTTCGTGCAAACTTGCCAAAGCCTGTAGTGATTCCATAGACAACTGAAAAAAGCATAATCATCATTTTTTTAACAAGAATGAGGAACTGAATTTTAACTGTTAGTGCATTTCCACTTTCCCACATCTAAGTTTTAGAGATAAAAGAAACAGTTACCTCTCTGTTCATTTACAAAACTTTCAATAACTTCTCTTGATTCTCTGACTTTAATTTCAGCTTCAGGAGTAAGCTGGGGAGAAAAAATGCCCTTACTCAGTTTCTATTTCAATAATAGCTGCAGAGAAGAAATAAACGATTAAGACTTAAAATCTTTTCAGATACTCACCTTGATCTTATAAAGCCCCTTTCCTAGATTGACCAAATCCTCTGTTGTCAAACTGTTCCCATCTAAAGAAATGTACTGTACAAAAGAACAGCATTAGAGAAAGAGAGATGTCTTGCCTAACTAGGAACTGCTCCAATATGTGGAAAAGATACTGATCCTTCTGCATGGTCAGTGTTGCTGAAATTAAAAGTACACACGTTCTCTTTCCTACGATCAAAGAACAGCTCAGGGGAGCAATGGTATGCATATTTAAACAGAAAGAAGCCCTACAACTTCCAGCAGGCTCATCTGACAGAACATGCATAAAAGAACCATTTGTTTATTTATAGTTCTATCTCACCCTTTTTTCTGCAAGGAACCCAAGGCAGCTTACATAAACTGCTTCCATTTTGGCATCACAACAGCCCTTTGAGGTAGGTTATGATGAGAATGAATGACTGGCTCAAAGTTGCCTTGTGAGTTTGATGGCTGAGCCAGGACTAGAACCTGGGACTCCCGAGTCCCAGTCCTATACTCGAACCACCACCGCTCACCGGTTCTTTTACACATTGGCGCTTAAGTGGGTCCTGCAGAGCATCATGAGTCTTACTTCCAGATGAGCCTTTTATGGGGCTATCGCCCTGCCTCATTCATAGAATCTTGGCATTGGATGCTTCTGAATCTCTGAGTTTCAAATAAATCAGATTGTGCTCTTAATGAAGCAGCTCACATCTGCTAAGTGCTGTAAGAAAGAGTCAAAACACAAGGCAGCCCTGGCATGCAGGCTGACAATCTAATAGAGAGTATGTAAAGGAAAAAGGGTTGGGGAAGAACGGGGGGGGGGGGGAGTAAATTCAAAGGGAGGGAAGCCTCCATAATTCTCCATAAATTATCACAGATTCATACCTGTTCTGGCTCTCGATATTTGCTATATCTGAAACAACACATAAGAAAAATACACTGTAAATTTATTCACACTGTATGCACAGTTTGGAGTGTAGGTCTGATTATGTGTGAAACTACATACTCTTAATGCATGAGGCCAATAAAAGCAATAGACCATCACCAACTTTGGAAAGGATACAAATAAACACCTTCAGGCTGTGATGGAATGAAGTCTGGAGACATCACATCGCCTTGTATCACTGAGAGAGAAAAAGGAGACAAACATTCTTTTTCCACATTTCTGTGGTCAGATGCCCTTTTGACCATCCCTGAAAAACACCATGTCTCTCAATTAATAACAAATTTTGCTAAGAATTTGGAATCGCTCTTAAATTGCAACACTTCACTTATTTGCATCTCTGTGCACTTCTCTGCTCCCCACTTTATTTTAAATAGTAACCCCAAGAAGTAAACAGCATTTATATCAGGATGGAATATTTTTCATTTATTATTTACACAAAGCAGTGCACATAAATTGCACTGATAATTTATAGCAAAAGATAAGCCACTGCTTTAAGGTTGATAGTTGATGGAGAAGAGGGGGAGCAAAGGATATTAACAAGTATTTGGTTTTTTTTAAACTTAGACGTTGTTGCAGCTGAAGTCTTAGATGCTACGGCTGACATGACAGAGAAAACACTATAATCTACAATGGTCAGTTTTAATCCAACGTATAGTTGAACCAAAAAATCTTTTTTCTTTCTGTTCACAAACATGAAACTGCCAAAGCTATTTAGCATCCCATGTGGAAATGCCTTTAATAGTCTAACAATTACTACAGCCAAATATCACACATTTGTGCATACTTGTCCTGCAGATTTTTGTTAGATGAACCAATTGCCCTGAACACGATTGAAACATTGTAATGATTTATTTCCATCTTTCCCCATTTTAAACTTCTCCTTAATTTATGCAAGCACAGCAACATTCACGTTTGTGTGCTGCAGCCCACTTACCCACTTCCACAAACTCATTGTCTTCTAGGGCATCCTCCAAAGTATCCTCATGGTCCAGTAATCCAGGACCTTTGCAACGGCGAACGTAGAATTGTACTTCTTCCACAGATGCAAATCCTCCATTGTCAGGCTTATTTTTCATGTAGCGCCTCACTGCTTCTTTGCCCAGCCATCTCACGGTGTTTGTCGCAGTCTGGCAGGGCACAGCAAGCCATTCCCCTCGCACATGCACTGTGTACCTCGGCATACTTGTCCTGCACCTAGGATTGTCCCTCCGCTCTAGACTATCAGTGCGAGCGCTGCTCTAATGTGCACCCGACAGCACTTGCCACCTGACCAAATTCCAGCGCCCCAATCAAGAGAGACCACAAAGCCACCTGCCCACTGGAGATTCCCTGGATCTGCAACTAAATTTGCATGTGTATTTCACCAACCATCAAAATACAGGTAGAGACAAATGACTAAAAAGAGCAACAGGAAAATGGGGAAATAGAATCTAAAACCAAATGGCCAAATCCTTTATGTTCATGAAGACTGCAATTATATATAAAACATTGTTTTAAAGCACTTGAAAGAACTGCTTGTCAGTCTCCGAAGTCTCAAGTATTCAGCTAAGTTGATGATTTGTATGGTATATGTGAAGATAATTCAGTAAAAACCCTTCCTAGTGGATGTTGACTTACTGTAAATTCTTCAGATACTTTTACAAAATCTTATTTACATCAAGGCAACAGTGCAGGTTGGTTTCCCCATGATCCTTTGAGACAGAGAAATCACCTGCCACACTGGATCTTATTTCTAACTGCATGTATTCTGCTATGATCACCCTTAATTTTCTCCCATATGTAAAGAGTTACATGCTTGGATGGATGTTGGGATTTTTCTTACAGCGTGGCTCAAGGGCAAGGAACTGTCTTGGGCTACAACTGACCAAAGGCTATGGCTGACACGAGTTGGAGGCCAACCATCTCTGCAGGGCCACAGGCTCCCCACCCCTCATCATGCTTTGGTCTCCTCGGCTGGATAGCTTCCATTTTATTTAATTATTTATATTTGGAGACAACATCCATGCAGCTATGCAATTCTAGAATCTAGCAGTGCTGGCCCCCAGTTTGGATTGCTTTAAAAAGGGATCGGTCAAACTCATGGAGGACAAAAGCATCAGTAGTTACTAGATCGAAAGGCTAAGTGCTACATCAGTTTTTAGAGTATGCATGTTTACACCAGATGCTGGAGATCGTGCGTCAGACGGTGGTGTTGTGCTCATGTTTTGCTTGTGGATTTCCTATGGGCACCTGGTGGTCACTGAGTGAACAAAATGCGGGATTGGATGGACCGTTGACCTGATCCAACAGGGCTCTTATGCTTTTATTCTTGTGCCAGCTAATATCAGCCCTGGAGTGTAGAATTTGGAGGACTCAAGAAACTAAGAATCAAGAACTTCTATAAAAATTATTTATGGACTTACATTCCTATAATAACATACCTGCCAATGCCCTCAAGGTGGTAGTTTTAGCTTAAACCATAAGTAAACCCAAAATATCCATGCTGTTCAGTGATAGACTCCGTGTTCTGCATACAATGTTGCAGGGTCAGTCCCTGACCTCTCCAGCTAAAAACAGTTCAGATATCTGATGACAGGAAAGCTCTCAGCCTGGGACCCTGTAGAGTTTCTGCCAGAGCGGGTAAACAGTCCTGGGCAAGGCAGATTAAGCTCCAGCTTGGAATAAAACAGCTTCATAGGTTCAAGATAATAATGATAATAATAAGCAGTTTTTTTCACTCCATTGAGAGCCAGTGACAAAATCAGTGTTAGCCATAGTAACATAACAACCTTTAGACTTAAACCCATAGATTCGTCATTTGTATGGCAGGACTAATGGTATTAATAATTAATCCAATGAGTGGTTGCTCAGATATGTTTTAACTTGCTAGAAATGGTATGATAAAATTGTTTTCATAGCATTTGGGCTTTCAACTTTTACAATGAAATATGGGATCTACTAGAGTAAGATGCACATTTCATCAAAGAACAGATGCATGAATTCCTTGCTTAGTCTTCCCTGTTCTCTGACTTCCTGTGTGCTGATCAGTTACGAACAGCAATAAAACTTGAATGCTATGTTATCTCCTCATTCAGTTGTCAAAGGTCCATAAATTATTCTTGTGCTTCAAGAGATGACCTCACTGCTCTGGTTCTGAAACATGACTCAGATTTGTGATCTCTTACATTACTCCTCCGCTGGTATTTTAAAAACATGAAGCAAGCATGCCTGACATTTTCATTATGAATATTTTAAAAACAAATGTGCAAAAAAAAAAAAAAAGCTGCCATTATATCTAAACAGATTTTTTTTTTAAAAAAAATACACATTTCCATGGTGGTTTTCAAGACATTCTAATACACAGTGAATAGCTGAATTCAGACAACCTGATGTTGCATGGAAGTTGTTTACCCCTGTTGGTCTGTTGTGTTGTCCAAAAGCAGTCATGGTATTTCACCGTGGTAAGTTCAGTGTTTAGAAATCACAGTAAGAAACACTGATTTGTCCTATGGTTTCTCTGTTACCATCATGACTTGTCATGCTTTTAGAACTCAGGATCATGGTTTCCATTATCTTGGTATGCAACAGAAGCCCCTGGAAAGTGTGACAACTTCAGAGCCACTCCATCCATCTAGCCTCTGTATGTGGACCAAAATGAAGAGACATGTGATGCAGGCAGGGAGAGATGTACCTCAGGAATGAATTTCAGGTGTGGAGGCTGATGTGGTATATACTAACAACAGGACTGAGTAGAGGGGATGGAAACCATGGGAATATAGATAATTGATCATCTATCAGGTGGACCATAGTATAAAATGAACCATAGTAACCATGCATGGTTGCATGCCATGTTGTGTGAACCTAACCAGTGACTAGGTCCACACAACATGGTGACCCATTGTGGGTAAATACCCATGGTAGGTTGCTATGTTATTTGAATTCAGACTGCTGGAAACATGGTGGCTTCTTTCTGATCATGGCTTGTTCTAGGGCTTAACTGACAATGGGTTGTTGCATTGTCTGAACTCAGGAGATCAATTCAGTCATGGAGCTCACAAGACACTGAGCAAGAGGGGCAAAAATCCCTGTCAATGCTGAGCTTGTCCCTTCCCTCCTTCCCTCTGGTTCCAAACTCAAAACAATCCTTTTGGAATGCAGTTATTTTGTTTAGACTCCACAGATATCAGAACAGTTTGAGCTCTAAATAGCCGCCTACCAAAGCTGATAATAGTTGTCTCTGCTCATGTGAAGAGTTGAATCCAAAGTGGAAACTTCCCCTCAGTCCCTTCCTTTCAGTTAAACTCTGCCCTCAGGGTGGGTCTTGCTGCTGGAGACAGAGACAGAGTAGATGGCAAAGCCCCTCCAACTGAGCAGCTTGTCCTGACACCTCCTTACTGGGTCAAGGACTACTCCCCCCGCCCTCCTGACAATGCTTCCTACCCTTTCAAAACATGCTGATTCTCATGCTCAGCCTGAGAAACTTCACTAGGCACAGTTGAAGGATCTTCAAAGGTTTTGTCCCCGTTTCTCCTCCTGCTCAAAATCTGACAACATTGCCCACTGAACCATCTGCAGTGTGCAAGAGAATGGCTCACTCTCTACAACTGTCACCAGCAACAGCGTCCCACTGATGTCCAAGAGCTACTTGGGAGTGATTGTGTTCGGTTTGCCTCCTTTGTTTAGTCCCATTCATATGTACAAATTCTTTATTTTTCAATGATTTGGGTTGGTCTTTTGGAGTGCACACTTGAGACTGTCCAAAATATATGGTCTTGCTGGTTGATGCCCTTAAGTTTTGGCTGTCAAAGGAAGCAAAGTACACTTAGTTGATAATGCAGATAGAAACTGACAAGGTGAAACTGCATAAAGGCTCAGTTCATAACTTCATTTAAAAAGGAGGAAAAGTAGTGCAATGAAATCTGTAACATATTAGCATGACTTCTAGCTTTGAACAAGAACCCACAAGTAAGCTTACCTTTGCCCTGTCAATATACTGTAGGTTATCTTTCATGAAAGACATTCTCTTTCTAGTTATCCTCCCATCTAAATTGAAGTGACCTTGGATGGATCAGGCAACTGGAATAATACCTCCCCTCCCCCCCCCCAAACCATCATCAGAATTAGAAACTGTTAAAGGGGTGCTTATCTGGTGCTTTCCTAATTCTGCTTATATTAAATCAGAGGCCATCTGCTTCCACCTGAGGACCACTTAAGTCCTGAGAAACATCAGAATATGTAATGACCTGATTTAGCTCAGACTTCAGTCAAATCAATGCACAGCTCTAGCTAGACAGAATTGTAGCTTTTTGTAGGCAGCACAGTATTTTTTTAAAAGCCACCACAAATCCAGTTATCAAAGTAGCTAGGGTACTAACGCAATGACTCCATAGCCTGAATATTACAGGCCTTCATGACTTTTTGATAGGACACCATTGCCTGTGGCATAGAGGCGGCCTATGAATAGATGGCAGTTTGCAGAGATCATTTGTAAAAATTTCAGGATCCGTATCTCAGAACCCTATTTTTGTGCTGTGGAAACACTGGAAATAAATGAATCAGTTCTTTTTTTTCCAGTTCAAACCACAGTAGCAGAGGTGATTCTATGGTTTTTTAATGGAGGGATCCCATATAATGAATGTGCTATTTATTTTACTTGATCTTTACATATGTGTGAAATGGTGAATGTGCATGTGGACAGAAGTGTGCTATATCTTTGCTCTGGTTGTGTAACCCCCCTCTTGATTCCGACACCACTGTGCCTCTTGGCCCTGTCATCTCCTGGTTGCTCCATTCTTATCCCCAAAGGTATCACTGCATTTTCCTTGCCTGTTAAGTCATCCCATCCTCCTCTACTGGATGCTGCCTGCCTCTCATGCTGCCTGCCTGCCTGCCTTCCTCTCTCTCTCTTTTTTCTTTCTCTCTCTCTCTCTATCCTGCTTACCAGGTAGTGGTAATCTTTATTTACAAGGTGGTCAGGCTTGCCTTTTGGCATTTTGGGGAAATAAAGATGTGAGGTTGGTAGAAGTTTGTTTTTTCCAGTTAATTCAACAGGAAGGAAGGCTTATGAGCACCAAGGAAGGTATGTCTATGCTTATTGGGCGATTAGATACTCTTGATTCTTCCTACAACTTTAAGTTTTTCACTAACTTGACATTATGGACATAAAGGTTTTCTTCATGAGAGAGAGAACTTGTATCAGGCATTCACATGCAGATTGGAGTAATATTGCCAGTTCATAGCCTGTTTCAATTTCTAATCAGCTCTGTGTGGAGGTAAGCAAGTGTATTAATTTAAATATATTTTGGCATACAACTCTCAGAATGCTAACTAAATTTATAGGCTGAAGTATGTGGAGGGCCACCAGCTGTCCACCCCTATTTTAGGGAAAGAAAAAGCTCTGTGAGCTAGAAGTCTCTAGCAAGTCTCCAGTGAACAAAGCACTGTCATGTAATTAAGTTTATGGAAAGACAAATTGATTTAACATAAAAAGATTTATTTCCTCAAAGCAGTACAGGTAGCAAAACATTGCCAACTCTTGCTGTGGTTCAGTGATAAGTAATGTATGAAAATATAGCATAAGAAGTTTTATTAGCTTTACAGAATTATATATGAGCATGCTGTTTTTATTCCAGAATGCCAGCATGAAAATCTAGAAAAAGCTTGATTGTTTCAGGTACAGAATAGAAAGCTAGGTTAGTAATCAAACATGCAAGTTGCCATCATTTTGGGGAAGGGGAAGGAAGGGACATGTGGGGAACAGAGAAAGTGAAATTAGCCTCTTATGGACTCCTTTATCCTTAAGTCCGCAAAGTTTGTCCATCCAGTCCCAGGTCTTTGGCTACCAACATTGCAGTCACAGGATGCATGGAGGCTTTGTGCTGCTGGAAAGCGCTGATGGCTTGTTCGCGAGATTTCTCAGATTTATAGAGGTCTCTGCAATAAATTCCATACAATAAAAATTAAATCAAGGTCTGGGTAGTTTTCAAGATTTGTACTAAGATGCTATAGAAGTATCTTCAGGACAAGTTGCTTTTTAAACTTAAAAAGCTATCTGGACCAAAGTATGTTCATGAAAGACATACAATATAAACATTTTCAGAATATACTGAAATGATTTTGAAGACATACAAACTTTGCTTAACATGACCACAAGGCAAATAAGTGGCTTATTTTCCCTTTCATCATCATCTTGCATATATATCCTGCTTTTTTCCCTCTTAGGAACTCAAGGCAGCTTACTTAATTCCATTTTATTCTCACAACCACCCTGTGAGAAAGGTCTGGCTAAAAGTCTGTAACAGGCCAAAAGTCACCCAGTGAACTGCATGGCTGAGTGGGGACCAGTACCCAGATATCCTGGGTCCCTAGTCCTTCACTCTAACCAGCATATCACACTGGCTCATGCAGGCATGTGCAAGCTGCATGATATGCCTCATTACTTTCACAGTCCGTGGCTTCCCATGTTGTCAAAACCTGGTAAGTGGGGACACAGTGGGGGATGGCTTAAAACCCACCCAGAACTTTACAACAAGCCACGGGTTCTGGGGTGGTTTTAAGCTAGACCTGCTACATGTTTAGCCTTCAGAAGAGAACACTGTGGGGAGCTACAACTGCACTCTTCAAGTACTTGAAAGGATGTCAGAGGGAGGAGGCTCTTCTTGATCAACTCAACAGTGCACAATATGGATTAATTAGCTCAAGTTACAGGAAGCCAGATTCTGGCTAAACTTCAGGAAAACTTCCTGAGTTGTAAAGAAATGTAGCAACAGAACCATTTACATGGAAAAAACCATTTACATACTCTCCCATACTGGAAGTATTCAAATCACAGCTGGACAGCCCACCTGTTACAATCATGCTGAAAGCCACATGGGGTAGTGGTTAAGAGTGCAGGACTGGAACTCAGGCGATTTGGGTTCTAGTCCCCACTCAGTCATGGAGCCAATGTTGGGCCAGTCACAGACTTTTAGCCCAACCTACCTCACAGGTTTGTTGCTATGGGGAGAAGATTGAGAGCAGGAGGAAGAGAATGATGTAAGCCACTTTGAGATTTTTTAAAGGCAGGATAAAATTCTAATAAATAATAAGGAATCTTGCATTGAGCTGTGGATTGGATCCTATGGATCCAATCACAGGTCTCTTCCAATTCAATAATTCTATAATTGCATAAAACATGTTGCAAATCCTTGCTAATGCTTTCAAAACCAGAGAATAGTTTTCCCCAAGAAAACAACTCAAGTTTTTTTGGTGGCCTAATTTAGCTGCTGTCCAGCTAAATTAACGTTCTCCTTTCAGAGCAATCTTGCTTGCTAAGATCAACGGCTCTCTCACCCTGCACTGTTGTAAAGCGGCTATGGCTGAAGACTGACTAAAGGCCTAAGTAGCTAGTAATTATCAGTAATATGGTAGTTTTTCACACATCTTGTCATAAAAAGGACTGGTAACTGCACTGATACCTTCTATGTTCACAACATGAAGTTTAATCCCTCAAAGTTCCACAACTCAGTTGTAATTATTGTTTAACTCTTGTATTATAGTTTTGGCAGTCATGATTTGTTTAAAATCATTATCTCCATCAAGTCAATATAATTTGAGTAAAAATCTACCATACACACATTCAGAATTAACATGTGGCGAATAATCAATACTGAAACATTTTTGCCTGATTATGTGTAAATGGTTAAGGCATACATATTTTAATAGTTATCTTACTTAAACAAGGGACGAGTGAACTTCATTCTGCCTTGTTCCGTAGCCATCTTTAGTGCAAGAGGAATGGCATCTTCCCATTGGGCTTGAAGGCAGAGGCGCAGCCATCTGAAACAGAACAGTTCATAGTCAGTTAAATGGGTTTACAGCAAGTTTAAGAGAATTCAGTTTCTGCAACCCAGTCCCAGATTTCTCAACTATGCAAGTTACAAATATATATATAAGTGCTTACATAGTTTATTTTATTTTTAAGATCATTTATTCTACAGATTTGGATTCTGTAGAGAAGAAGGGGAACGGCACATCAGAAAGCGTATTAGGAATGGGCTTGTGGGAAACAGGAGTAAGCAAATACTAGTCGCAAGCAGAAGAAACAAGCTCCCTGGCAACCATCCCCTGCACCTCACATATCATTCAACTATCTGTCTGGTGAAATATCAGCAGACACCAACCAGACATTTTCAAGCTTCTCTTCAGTCAGGCTTTCTAATAGCCCAAAGCCAAGTGCCAAATTAGTCTAATGATAAGGAAGCATTTGCCTTACAGTGTATTATACACAGTGCAACAAATCCATGACATGTTGTATTTCACGTGTATTTTACATACCTGAATCTAATTTCAGAATTGTTCACAGCATTGAAGTTATATACCTCTTGCATTTGTTTTACATGACTTACTGGAAGCGGGTTCTATAGAATATAGAAGAGGAGAAAAGCAGGAGTATCAAAACCAGAATGTCACACCTGAAGGGGAACGTCACATCTACACGGACACAGAGGATACAAAGCAGCAAAATGATGTCCATTCTGTAGTCTGCCATCTGAACCTATGTTCTGTAGTCAGAGTGGTCTGAAGAGTAGTACAGTTAAGGAATGCGGCAAACTTCTTATTTTAAGAAATTGCTACAGCCACTCCAAGCTTCAGCAACCACCCAGTCAGCATTGGGGCAAGACCATCCACCAACAAAACAAGTATGACTTGCTGAAGGGTCAGGTGATGGTTATCATTTTTTAGCAATAAAATAATTAAATTATGCACATTGTTTTCTAGAAAATTACTATTGTACACTTAATGGATTACAGTATGCTGTAAGCATAGCTTTTATATGCACTGGGAAATCAAAAAATTGTGTGACTTGATGTTCATTTTACTGTGGTGGTCTGCAACCAAGCACACAATATCTCCAGGTTATCCCTGTATAAGAAGTCATCATGCTATCAGGTTCTTTTTTATATAATAAGTTTTATTCAACATAACCCTAAAACAAAGGAAAACTAAAAACAACATCAATCAGCAGAAACATCGGACCTGCTGGGTCAGCCCCCACATTTTTTTCTATTTATGATAACTTAAAAGCACATTTAAATCTACCCGAAGTCCTGTTTCTCTAGCCAATAATAAAAAGAGTCCCAAGTTTGATAGAAATATGCTATCAAGTTCTGAAACACTTCATAGCAAATGTATACTCAATACTTTATAGAGTATTGCTATAACTGAAAAATGTATTGCTTTCCTCACCTGACCTTCACATTTACAAAATGTAACAACAACAAGGGAAAAAAGGTAATAGAAAGGTTTGTGTTCAGAGGTAAATACGTTTTGCCTGCACTCACCTCCAGCAGCAATAGTGCAAGGAATTCAATATGCTGATGTGAAGACATCTCTCTTATATCAGCTGAACTGAAGGAGTTAAGATTACTCTCAGTTGCCTAAAAACAAGCAAAAGTCAGTAGATATTTGAAATTCAGAAATTCCACCTTGCAAAATATAAAAGTTTCAACATTTTATTACAAAACTCTATTTAGATAGAAGGCCTCACATTGGGCTGGTTTGCATAGTTGGAGAAGGAAAATCAGATACTCTAACTTACTTTGCCATCCTGCACATGCCACTTGCATACCACACAATTACTATAAATATCCTCACGAGATATGGTTTATTGTGCCATCTGAACCCAGCAAGAGTGGTGGGTAGGGGCAATTTACAAACTACCTCATGACTCTAGATAAGCCATGAATTCCATGGTACTTTGCAAACCCACTTGCCTCTCAGCCTTGCCAGGTGCAGACAACACAACAAATCACATCTAACAAGGAAAGTTATGATAATTCCACAGCATGCACTCAACATGTGTAGTGAGAAAATGAGCTGTAATGGCTTTTGCTCCTTTCCCAAACATGTGAACCCAGGCAATGTCCCCTGTGACCAAGATGGACTTCCTGCATACTACAGTTGTGCATGCAATAGCAAATTTATCTTCCCTCTCTGCTCTGGTTGCTTCCCAAAAAAGGGAAGCCCTTGCTTCCCTCAAGCTGTGTACAATTGTGACTGAGTACAAATTTGTATTGTTGAATAAAAAATCATGCAGCTAGATTTACTCTCTAAAGTTACTGGTCAACTTGAAGTGAGTAAACTAACCAGTGAAATTTGAAAACTTATGCTAAAACTTAATATTTAAGATTTGAGATTTCAGACAAAGAAAAAAATGGACTTTCTTCAGGTCTATGTTAATTTTAACATAATTTTAGCTTGCTTTGGAGGGGAGCTCAGAGTGTCTGTTTACCCTCGGCTTATGGGCTCAGATCCTTTGCCCAAACAAATACAGACTATATTTGAGGGTTCTCATTATCTCAAAATACAAAAACGCATTTTACCTGGCAAAATTACACTCCATATTTCCCTGGGCAATTCCTGGCCATTACATTTTTAAGGCCTGTTCTTAGGAAGTGCAATAAAATCAGATTATACTTCTGCACTGAGTCCTTTTAGTGTTATTTTCTGTCCATGCTAATGGATTTATTTGATTTTAATCTGTATGGTTTTAATGTCAAGGGAATGTTCAAGGTAATTTTTGAATACTGCTATTATAACTAATTCTGTAATGGTGGCAAGATAAGCTTTACCTCTCTGTAAATATGACCCTGCTTTTTATTGTTTGCTTCCTATATGGGTCAGTTGACTAAGAAACCTTGATGAAGGACAAAGTGGAATGCACTAGTAGCATACATTACACCTGAAGTATTTTTAACAAAACTCATTAACTTACTTTGATCCATCTTTGGCTCAAGGCAACACAAGCATTTGATAGTGTTGTATCATACCTGGTAAAGACAGAAAAAGAAAATTTACACACTTACTGCCAACATAGGTGTCTTGTGCATGAACTTACAAACAGCCTTCTTTTACATTTCTCATTCATCACTTGAATAAATGTTACTCCTTATTACAACATTATAATAGTAACATACAAAACTAAGATTGCGAGTCAGCCCATGAAGGGTATAAATGTAAATAAGTTCAAGGAAATGTTTCATGTAGCAGACCTATTTAGTATAATCTTACACATTTTGTATTTTTATTATTAATAATCGTTGTATGTTCCATTTATATCATTTAAGATGAGCACGTTTTAGATATTCATCTTGTGCCCAACATATAAACAAATTTGAATAAAGTATCAAGATTAATAGATATAAACCAAAAGTAGGAGAACCTTATGAATTCATAATTTAAGGATCCAATATGATCTAAGATATATATTTGGATTAAAACAGAATTTAAATGTTCTCAAATGGCCTTTGAATACAAGCACAAAGATTGATGTTAAAAGATTGATGATCATTTCAAGAAACTCTGTTGCTTACTTTGGTTTTTCTGGTGGCATACCAGGAGTGTTCATCCAGGCATTCCAATCAACTTTGTCAAGAATATCAACCTAGAATAATAAATCATTTATCAAACACTTTCAAGTGCACTTGTTTCATAATACAAAAATACTGCATTTCAGGCCATACCAGCTGATGACAATGTGACACTGAATTAAATACTGTCATTGCATAATGCAAAAGGAAATCAGAGGATTCTACAATTTCTGTAGCTGAGACTGAAGGATTCCTTTATCTCTCTAATGAGAGAAACATTTTACTCGTTCACTAATACTATCCCAATGAGGCAGATATCTGCTATGAACATATGCACGTTTCTTCCAAAGCAATGCTGATTTTGATCCCATCACTCAGTATGACCATATTGATTAACTACCAACTATGGTATAACTGAAAAACTGACATAAAATCTATATGAAAACTGAGCTCCAATAAATGATTCAGCAATGTGGGCTGTTAAGGCAATGGAAGGCTGAGTATTGTCAGATATTATATTCTTCAGTAAATGTTGCTTTATAAACATGATCATGACGCAGCTGATCATGAGGAGCATTCATAACTCTGCAAGGCTGTGACCTCCAGAGCAGGTAGCACCAGAACAGGTAGCATAGTACTTTTCTATGCAGAAATTTACTTCCATAAGCAAAAGTGCCCAACAGCTCAGATGTCTTGTTCCCATATACTGCATAAAGAATTGTAATAGCACTAAAAAAAATTTAAGCAAAAAATTTCTGTGATCTCGTCAAAGCTGTTTTTTGCCTTATATTTCATCCTTCTAAAAATGTCAAGAGTCAGTAAATCCTTGTTCCTTTGAGCATTTGTTTGCTACCTGTCTTGGAGCTTTCTAAGAAGAAAGACTAGCCATAACACACACATTTCCAGTAAGCCAAAGTGGAAACATAATGAACTGACATTTGGATTATGCATTGATTTGAGCCCAGGTTTGCTTTCAGCTTCTCAGGCAAAACATGTTTGAGGAATATGGTATTCTTCTAAAACAGTTTACTATGAATATTTCAGGCTGCTTAGTGGTAAAGTGCATGTTTTTTGTGCACTAAGTCACACATTCTCTTCCCATCACTACTTAAACATGTAGACTTTAAAAGCCCAAGAAAAGCCTTGGGGGCAACTACTAAAAGAGCAGTGGACTAGACAGAATATTGGTACAACTGCATATGACAGCTTCATTTCATTTTGCCACCTCAGAATATATTTTATTTTGAACCAATTATAACAAAACATTTTGAACTGTAAGAGTAGCACTTAACCTTGTCCTTGAAATATGTGTACAGGAAATTCTTCCAGTCCTCAGTCCTTATACTCTTGTATGCAAATTGCTGGATGTATGCCCTCAAGAAGCCGATAAAGACATCTGTGGGCACATAAGATGTATTAAGCATAAATAAAATGTCATCACAAAAAAATGCCCCACACCTGAAGAGTAACTGAATACCTGGTCCACCAAGAAGCTGTTCAAGATAAAGTAGTAAAGCAAAGCCCTTCTCATATGGAACAGAAGAATATGCAACATCAGGGTCTACTTCTTTTAGACAAGGGATCAGTTTCGTGACAGGATTTGTACTTCCAAGCGTTTTGATCTAGTAAGAGAAATACATTTATGAAAATGGAAGCTATTATAAATTTAATGGGGTTCAACCTGCCAGCCCTCTTGACACTGAGAACAGACCAAGTACAACCTGCAACACTGGGTAAAACTCATCAGCCACCTTGCCAAAACATTTTGTACTCTAATGCAAGGGTGGGAACTTCCATGGATTGAGGGACACAATGCTTCTCCAGACCTCACTGGAGACTGCAGTTCTGCTGTCTGCTGCTGAATTTGCCACTGAAATTTGGTAACATAGCAGCAAAAAAGTAATAGTTTTGCGTTATAAGAAAACAGGCAGGGAGCACATAGCTTGTTTTAAGGCAAAATTACTGTTTGTTTGCCACAGTGGTAGCAAATTCAGCAGTGGGGGATCGGAATGAAAAAGCCTGGAGGAGCTGTATGTTGCCTACCTCTTGTCTAATGGGACAGATGTTTTTCCTCAACAAACCTCCACTCAAATTTCAATGCTTTTGTTCTACTATCTCCAGGGGCACAGGTTAGGCTCAATACAAAACCTCAACTTACTCAAGTATGCTAGCTTTAATTAAAAAGTGGCAATGTTCCAGATTTGTCTAGCTCATGCATCCAGCATGGGTCATAACCCAATGCCTGATTATCTAATTGCATCCTCCAAGTGAAAACCCAAGCCAAATGGAAGAAAAATCTCACTGTAATGTCAAGAAGATGGGGAACATACTCAAGAATGGAATTCTATAGCAGTGGATCAATGACAGATTATCTCAGAAAATTCATTGGAGCCTGGTGAATTCAGAGCAGATATTTAAGTATTCCTTCTGGAAACCCACAACAATGCAACACAGAAACACACTTAAGTGCCCTGGAACTAGAGAGCAGAAAGGAAACATATTCTGGTTCCTGCTATTAGTCAAGGATCTAAGGCCAATGGAAGGCTTGTACCCACTGCTTCCCAGAAACATTATCAAGGTGAGGATGAGGTCATCCTAGCCCATCTATTGTTGGGAGTGAGATAGATGGCTGATTCATGTGCTCATTCTCAAGGACTGCTGGCTAGACTTCAGAGGAATCAGAATGTGAAGCAGAACTGGGAGGAACTTGGGAATGTGGGCCAAGCCAAGATGCTGAGATGAGAGACTTATCTCAAGGCTAGACTCCCTAGGTGGGTAGGCTGTCTCTGGGAAGAACTAAGATGCACAGATGGTAAGAAGGGATTTGGAACAGGGGAGTTTCTCAGACTCAGGCAATATGGACACAGCACTTGACTCCATGACATGTTACCAGCAGATGAGGGAAGCCCTGTTAGAGGACTGACATATGCAGAGCAGATGTGCCCACTTTTCAAAGGCCCCTCCCCCAAAGGGATGGGGCACAGGCATGCTCATGAGAGTTCCTGGAGAGGCTGGGGTCAGCAAACCACTCTGTGCATGCTCAGAGATTCAGTCTGGGTGTTTTGTGCTTTTTAGTCAATAAAGAATATTTTGTAAGGGAAAAGGTATATGGCTTTTGAATGCTTGAAGGAGGAACCATGGCTCCCAGCTTCTATTGACTGTGGAAGGAGCAATAGCAGGGAGCTCACCTCTTCCTCCCTGCAAGAAAAAAACACAGTTGCAACTGACAGTTGCCCTCAGATTGAATGCCAGGAGAAAGAAACTCCAGCCTCATCTATCAGTCAAAGTTCCAAGAAACACTAACTTCTAAAATGCATTTAAATGCCTGCTAATAGCTTATCACCTTATTCTAGACTTGAAAAGCTTATTGCTTCCCTTTTCCTTTTGCCCTCCACTCTCCTTCCTGTCAGAGTAGTTGGTACCCTGATGGCAGAATCTGTCTGTATCATTTTATTGATATGAGTCACTGTGGGAGAAAGTAATTGTCCAAACAACATGGCATGATAAATATATCCATATAAGATCCAGAAGCTTGAATTTTTCCCAGAAGACAATTCAGGATGATGTAGACCTTGAAACACCACTATGAATGTTCATGAAAACTCTCATCCATATCTTGCACAAAATCAAATATGGGCTGTGGTTTGTTGTACTAGCACCAGCTTCTAAATGTTTAACAAGAACATAACTAGAAGCTGCTTGTGACATCAATTAAGATGTGATATCATTTAAGACTGCTATTAATTGTTCTTGAGGTATTCAAGTTATTTCTTTACTTCCTATTGTGGCAACAGGAAGAAATAGGAATAGCATTTTTTTCTCATTCATCTTTACTGAATGTTTTTAATCTGAAAGCTGTCTTAGGGACTATAATCAAATACCAGCATGGGGAAGGACAATGAGGTTAGTTCTATTTTGCAAAGCTAGGATAAATTTACTTTTCATTTCACATGTATTCACAGTTTTAAAATTCAAGTTATTTAAATCAGTCTGCAATTTATTTAATAGCACTTACAGTATTTTGCAATTCTCTCCAGCCACCCAGTGCCTGGAAATGTCTGAACTGTTCACCAAAGAGCCGGCCACCAATCCTGCGTTCCAAATAAACTGTGTGACCCTCATTTAGCCTGAAAACACCAAGGACACGTGTGCTTATTTCTGTATCTCAGACACTCCTGAATCAAAACACACAACTTCTAAAAGCATTTGATTTCACCTACCAAAAGTGCTCCCAAGTTTTGTTTGTTACCAAATTCCCAGTCCAGCTATGAGAAATTTCATGTGCAATGACCTGAAATGCAAAGAAAGTGTCACAGGCACATTCTGAACATTTATTATTTAACCCTCACAACCCTATAAACTGAAGGGAGGGCAGCAAAGACATACAACTGGAACCACTCACATGGTGCTTTTAATTTACATACTATATTAGCATGATATTACACTCCCCCCATCCCCATTTAGGCAGGCCTGGACAAAGGTTGGGCTGCAAACTAGGAAGGGTACCCACCCCACAATCACAAATAATCCCTCCCACCTCCTTTCACATTCCCGCTTGCCTTATCCTGGCTGTATGTGACCAATGCACTGCTGCTTCATACCATTTCCACAGCCCTGCTTACTACAGTTAACTTGGAGGTGGTGTTGCTTAGTGTCTGTTCTGGTCATTCAGCACCCGCCCCCCATCCATCACAGGCATTTTGCTTGCTTTGGTGGTGGCACTGGTGCATTTCACATAGGTCACGTCACTCTTACACGATGCTTGTTGCCTGCTTTCCATTACTCCTGTCATCCACTGGAGTTCTACTGATTTCTCTGCCAGCAATGGCCACTTGTGTATTCCCCTTTATTCAGTGAGATTTATATATTCAAGAAAAGCAGTTATTATAGCAGACTATTCTCCATAAAATTAGTTTGACTTCAACTTTTACTGTGGCATTAATAAGAGCCAGGCCTTTAAAAAAACCTCCTTAATTCAAAACATATTACTTGCAAATTTGTTTCAGGAAGGACCCAGTTCTAAGCAATGTAGATTTAATATGCAACATTCCAAAGAAAGGTCCACAATTCTGCTTTCTTGTTCACCAGTTATGGTTTCCAGGATACACAGCACAAAGATAGCCTCTTTTAAGTATTACAAATCAAGTGAAGGAAGAGTGAAAGGAGCAGAATAATCTGTTACTGTGTTGAGCCAGGCACAAGCACCAATCCTGTCTCCATACGAAAGAACTCCTAATAAGTATTCTTTTGTCTGAACATAGTTTATTCATGTGGCATTGTTTTCAGAGTTCTGTGAAAAGAAATTCTGAACTGGGCATTCTTGCAGGTAGAATGCTAAGAGCTAATTCTGGCTTACCCACTCACCCTGCACCCATCTAAGTCTTCAGAAATGTTATGGGACCTTCCAAAATGTGGAAGGTGGCACTGGGGCAAAGACAACTTTCCACCTGAAGAAGTATCCAGTTTGCAGAGCAAGAACCTTTCCTAAATCTAACTCACTTCCACAAATGAAAGTTCTCTTGCTTGCAGAACAGCTGTACTCAATCCAACTGACTGTTTGGCATTTTATTAAACTATACTATTTGCAGGTTTTCTTGTTAACTTATGCTGCAAGTAATGTTTAACTGTATGAAATCATTTAGTATGAATGATTTCTAATACTAGTTCCAATTAGAAATGCTAAATGGATTTTATACAGCATATGCCATGTTAGGCACATGAGTTAAACTTCAGAATATTATAGCTATGAGTAGTGGAAGAAATCTAGACTTATACTTACATTGGATAATGATCTGTCACCAGCCTGCAACAAAGATAAAAAAGTTATTTCCATAACTCATGCCAAGCACAAGATTCATATGCTTTTTCCAAAATGTAAGCTTCCACAAAGTTCCTAAAGAAAACTATGCTACATGATCCATAGCAAAATCACACATACCAGTAATGTTGGTGTTACAAAAGTGAGGCAAGGGTTTTCCATACCACCATATGGAAATGATGGTGGCAACACCAGCAAGTCATATTGACCCCATACATAAGGTCCTGCCAGGTCTTCTGCTGTTTTCAACATAGCTTCAGCCTGAAACAAGAATTAGCAAAGCTGAAATAGATATTAGGAAGCATTTCCTGAGATATTAATACACAAATTGTAAAAACCCAAATTATAATCTGGTTTATACAGTGCATCAAGGCTGAATGGGTTGCTGTATCTGAAACTTGAGCACACCCCACACGAAGCTTCTGTTTGGGCAACAAGTCACTGCAACAACCCAGGGGTTGTTTGACTCTAGGGGTTGTTTGACTCATGATTGTGTTGTTAGCAGAAACAAGGAAACCAACTCTTTCATGAATTGTGGAGACGGGCTAGCAATCCACTTGGCAAGAGTGGCAAAAATCCCTGCTGCTCTTTGTGATTTTGTTCATTCCGCTGCCAGTGACAGACCCACTGCTGATTTATTATTTTTTGGGCCCACAAAGATGTATGAATTTTATTATTTTTATGATTAGGTTCGGTTGTTCTTCTGCAGGTGTGCAACTGCATACTTCAGGTTGTTCAATATGTGTAGTCTTGCCTGATAAATGATCTTTTAAGATTCAGCTGGAACTGCAAGGTGCAGCAGGCAGCAGACTGATAAGGCTGCTGATGCAGGGGTTGGAAACACTGCCCTATGAGGAGAGACTGAGGGAATTGGGCATGTTCATCTTGAGAAGAGAAGACCGAGAGGGGACATGATATCCCTCTATAAGTACCTCAAAGGCTGTCACAAAGAGGAAGGTCAAGATCTCTTCTCGCTGATACCAGGGTGTAGGACACGGAATAGTTAAGTCAAGGTGCAACAACCCAGGTTTAGGCTAGATATCAGGAAAAGTTTTCTCACTGTCAGAGCAATGCAACAGTGGAACCAGTTGCCTAGAGTGGTAGTAGGCTCTCCCACACTAGAGACATTCAAAAAGAAACTGGACAGCCATCTGAGTGGGGTGATGTAAATTGGTGTCCTGCAGCAGTAGGGAGTTGGATCCGATGGCCTTCATGGCTCCTTCCAGCTCTACTATTCTGAGATTCTAAGGCTAGAATGTGTACAGTATAAGCTAATTTGCACAGCTGCCCACTATCACTTGCCTGGCTGTCAACTGAAATGGAAGGGGTGGGGGGGTGGGGAGAAGCAGTGAAAATAGGTGCACCATGAGGGGGAACTCCATTAACAATGTAATTCTCTGGCTTTAAGTGCTGAACCAACAGTTTTCACTGTCTTTTAACATTTTAACACTTCCCTTGGTTTGTAGCTAACCAGGAGGGGACAGACTAGAGAACTGATGGGTAAACAAGCCACAGCATGCTCAATCATTTGTTTGGGACACTGGGCATAACTTATTTACAAGTGGCTTAATGTAATGTAAAATGTAAAGCATCAGTGTCTTGGGAAAAATACTGAGTTATTTTCTTCTGCAAATTTTACAGCCATTAAAAATTGAAGTGACAGCTATTCACTTTCTAACAATATGCAAAAGTCAGATAAGCAAAATATTTTCACCAACCTCTGCAAATTCATGAGCTGATTTGTCTACCAGCTCCTTTTCAGCCCACACCAAAGTTCTGGGGCCAATCTCTCTGAAAAATAAGATTTGGTTAGGAAAAAAAATAAGAATTCTCCCTTTGAAGTTCTGCTTATTTCTTACCACAATGTGTAAAACAGTAATTTAATAGGTAGGGCAAGTGGAAAGATGGCAAAGAGCATTACTGGAAGGTACTAAGTTGCATGCAAACAGTTCCTTAAAGTATTTCTGCCAAAGCTAACATAATACAATTCTTGTTTTTACCATGGCTCAAGGAAGAGGGATAAGATCTCACCCACCTTCTCCCACAACCCTTACCCTGTTCTGAACAGTTAGTTGTCTCTGAGGTCTTTTGATCATGGATCATCCTAAAATATTTTGTGATCTGGCTAACAGAAGCAACAATGCAATTATGTATCCCCTGTACATGTGTGTCTAGATAAACACATCTTACAGCACCAGAACAGAAGAAGGAAGTATGTGAGCCCTGGGAGAAGCTAGGCTCATTCACTAAGCATGACCATTGAACAGCACTCACCTACTTTCCAAAGCCCCAACAACTAAAGCAATCAGATAGGAGGGTATTGGAACCTAACCCAAAGAAGAGAAAGACATGTTAGTAAGTTAAAAACTATAAACAGATCTACAAGTTTAGACATTTTTCACATCTAAAATCTTGTTTTCTGAAATGAAAGTTATCAGTGTGAATTATACCACAGTGAGCTGAAAATGCATATAGCCTTACATTCTGAATGAAACGATAAATCTTCCGAGTGCTGTCTTCTGGGTCAGGCAAGTCTCCATCTCTCTTAGCACTCATAAGAGCCACCAGTTCATTTGGAACAGATACCTAGTCAAGTTCAAAAATAGATGAATGGTTTCATGTTATACATTTCACATTTTACATTCCATTAAACCTTAGAATTCAAAGCTAATGCTACAACATGGATCACACAAATACTTCTCACTTCTATTCTTATGCATTAGTCATAAGCATAGATACGTTATGCTAAGAATTAAGATACTACCAAGGCAGCTATCAAGGAAAGGGGTTTTGCCAATTATCTTGCAATTTTTAAAAATAATCCCTTATTGCTTTTATCCAACAACCTATTAGAATACAGGAAACTAATTTTACAACTTTAATTTTGAGAAACTGTTTTACCTGAAAGTTTATTTATTTACCTGAACAGTCTAATTTGCTCAAAATCACCAAAAAGAGGTTTATCAGAATTAAAGAAGTGTTGCAATGCTGAGTAGTCACTCATCCAACAATGCACATGTCCACTAGACCATCCAAGCATTTGGCACATATGAGAAACGGTTCTTAGGCATATCAGCTTACGCAATCATAAACTGCAGGCATAGCAAAGTGCAACACTGGGCCTTTTAGCTAACCAGTTCCCTCGTCTCCTGACATAAATGTGTAGTACCTGCTTACCAGAAAGACAACCATGAGAAATCTGCTTTGACCCATGATGCAAAACAAAAATTCTTCAGCAAAGAATAAATATGGTCAGTTTGAAACGTTAATCTGCATTCCTCTTGTTTTCCATCCAAGAATGTTAATTAAGATAGGTATATGTGTGGCCAAACTAGGCTTGGTATAATTCATGTCTTTAGCCCTTGCATGGTCAGTTTTGGTTTTTTTTAAATAACAAAAAGACACTTGTGCAGGCCAACCTCCCCTGAGGCCACCCTTTAAAGGTTAAAGCTACCTTACCAAGTTTTATCCTGTTTGCTTGCACCCCACTGCAGCCAATTTTATTTTAAAAAAGAAAGACCTAAAATAGGAACATCACATGTAGCCTGGACCTGTTCCACTGTTCCATAAAACTTGATTTCATTTGTAATGCAGCAAGCAAGGTAATTACAAATAACACTTATTTGGTAAGATGTATCTTCTAACCTCAAACAGCAGATACGGAAACAGCAGTTCAGCAATGTTAGTAATGTAACAAGAGAACTTCCACATTCTGAAAATTATTAAATGAAGAAGTGTCTTACACGCAGCTTGCTCTCAGTTCCTCTTCAATTTTTATTAACTACTTAACAAGTAACTTGTCACAACTGGATTTGTTTCTTGGGTTTGGGTATCATTCTGTAATTTGACTATGGATACTAATCTGTCTGGCACTGGTAAGCAGGATAACCTTGCCCTGTAGACTGTTAACATTGCATTGTTCTTATACCATCTAACATCAGGGCTTTTTTTGTCATAGAAGGCACCAGAACGGCATTCCGGCACCTTTTTTGATGGATTTTTCCATGTGATTTTGAATCGCCCTGTCGGGCGTAGCAGGTCGGCAGCAAAATCATTAAAATAGTGCATGCGGGCTGCTTGTGTGTCCGTGCTGGTTGTGATGACACTGCTTGGCTTGTGATTGGTCGTGTTGACAAAAAAAGCACTGTCTAACATTATAACAATATCCTACACTTCTAATATGTGTTCTATTTACACAGTAAGTAATATAGTGGTAATTTCAAATGCTACTGGGTTGCAGCTATGATATGTGATGATGTGAAGCAACTTGCAATTAAAGTCTATCAGTTCTCACTGCATCAGGCTCAAATTATGAGCAGACATTCTAAGTGCTACCCAGATGAAATACTGAATGGCTCAACTGCTCAAAGGAATTTTACATGATGGACTTTTTAAAGAGCATAAACACACACTGAAGTTAGAGACTTTTGCTTCCTTGAGCTGGGAAGCCAAGCATCCTCCTAGCCAGATTGATAGCATAACTTTTATTTAACTGACCTATTTGTGTCCTACAACACAAATTCTAAGCAATTTTAGCACAGTAAGTCAGACACAATTCTTTCTTGCATCCCAAGTATGTCTAAAAGAACATTTCTGCTCAACTAAAACTACCAATGTTTAGGAACAACCTTCATACCAGAAAATAAGTCTTATTTCTGACATGGCAAATGAGACAGACATCAAATCTATCATGTGTGGCCTATTTGTAATGGAGGTTAACATACTCGATTTTTGCATATTCAAGAGGGGCTATAGAATAGCTTTTATCAACAATTTTGGCTTAACAAACCACAGTCTATTCTGCTAGGGATGTGTGCTCAGCTCACATCCCCTCCCACACCGGCTTGAGTACTCACTGCATTTCTTTAATCCAGTTTCCTGTTATACCTCTAAGGAAAGCTGTATGGCAATGTCAGCTTACTAAGACCTGTTGAAGCTGTGGTTACTCTGTGGAATGCTGAGATGACTAAGACATCACTCCCAAGCATCCCACTCTGGACAGGTCTTATGTATACACCTGAGCTGAGGCTAATGGAGCTAGAGGAAAGGCAGAGGTACTGTTGGTGGGTAGTTCGTCTGTCCTCCTAAGTGATGTTCAAACTGTTATGAAGGGGCACTGCACTCCTTTTCAAAGACTAGGTTCTTCTTTGGGGGTTTTCATGGATCCAGCATTGGCACTAGATGTACAGCTGGACTTGGAGGCATGCAGCAACTGCTTCAGCTACTGGATGACATAGAATTGTATTAAATAAATTGAGTACATACCCTCTTTCAAGCCAAGATAGTCACTGAATGAAAGGGGCCTTTTTCAGATACAAAAGGATGAGGTAACTAGTTGGAATCTCATGTAATGGGCTGTCCTTACCTATGTGTACCAAAATTATATAAAAAGAGCACAATCTGCTACCTGTCAAGACTAACAGAGCTCAACATTCAGATTTTAGTTTGACATGTTCACTCAAACAGTAGCAGAATATGTGGCGTTTCAAGATATTTGTAATGTTTCAAATACACTAATCCATCTCACATGCAATTGCTAGAGAAGAGTCAATCCTGCAGTTTTTGGTTCAGAGACAAGGCTTCTGGTTTCACGTACCTCTGCATAGTAGGTTAGCTTCACAGAAGGAGTATCCTGGCAGGGAAGAACAGCCCTGCAGTGATGAGCCTAAAAACAGGAAGGAAGATTTTGAATCTCAGAGAGACAACCAGCTTGGTCCTTTCCATGTAAGTTACAAGGGGGAGGGATCAGATTCCCCCCACCCTGTGCTCCTGAGCACTGTTTCTGACCTCAGATCTGAAGAAACCTAGGCATATGGTCCACTATAGGTTAAGGGGCCATAGAATGAACCCTAAGGTAAATATTATTGGTGTTGTTGGAAATGGAAATACCTCAAAGAATAGAAGAGAGAAGAAATACCTCACTGCTAGTTAATGTTCAAAGTAAAGTATCCTACTTGATAAACAGATATGTAAAACTATTTACAATAGTATAGTATTAGTTACTAGTAAGTTTAGTATTAAACAGAAAATAAAAGCAATCCAAGACTGCACAGTTTAGCAATATCACCTGATTTCAGTGTAGAGAAGTGGTTATATATTTTAAGTATCAAAATAATTAAAAGCAGTTTTATATGGCTTACTATTATTCAGCACTAATACCACTTCACTTCTGATCTTTGGTAACATAATTATGTGTCTTCAATAGTCACACTTAGTACTGTAGGAATCATGAAAATGCTTTAACCCATAATATGATCACTTATACACATTAGGTACACAAACCACAATTAGCCCATTCTCTCAGCCACATTATCCCTTCTCTAGCGTGCAGTATGCATTGAGACGATATGTAAAAGACAGAGCTGTGCTAAGCCCCTCAGTTCCCATGAGGTACACTTAGAAGTTGTAGAATTTTGGCCCAAGAGATGCCCACATAATCTGATCCAGTGATAGCAAACTGAAAAATGTATACCTGTAGAAAATGCTGTTCATAACAGAGAAAGACAGCATAACACCTTGCTCACCTGACATTGACTGAAGAGGAATGGATGTTTTTTTCCTGATGTCTGTTCTGGAGTAAACCACTGGAGAGCAGAAGACTTTGGAGAGGTTTCAAAAGAGATCTCCACAATCACATCTTGCCCCCTGCAAGTATTCAAATAGTTAAGAATGCAATTTTGAGTACAGGACCACTGGGTGAAAGTATTTTTGCTGAACTTCTTAGCAAAGTTAGATCACTACCAATCTGTATCTACCGATTCAGGGACAAGCATAACAGGGGGTTTCTCTTAAATGCTAACAGCCAAATAAAACAATTCCATCAATGAACTAAATTTATCTTCATCTTCCAACATAAGAAAAACTAATGAGATTTTCTTGGCTGTATAACAATAGCTACAATCCACAGCTGTATAAATGCAGGGCAGCCATTTGTCTCTCATTCTTTGGGGTGAACACAGCAGCAAAATTCTGTGCATATCCAAGCAATTTCAAATTTCTCAGTTTTGGTTTCATGTAACATTTAGGAAGAGATTAAGGCAAGGAGTTTGTTTACAAAAACAAGGGTGCAAAACCACTTTCAGCCTCAGGACCAAATTCCATTTTGGAAAAAATCTCAGAGTCGTATTGCAGTGGAGTGCAGCCAAAATACTAGTGTGTTTATCTTTAAGCCCTTACTGCCTGTAAACATGCCTTAGGAAGGGGTAGGGGGATGCATAAAAGTCAGGAAAACACCACAACATGTTTGGTCTGGAGAAAGGAGGTGATGCCTGCTAAGGAACCGCAGAAGTCCAGGCTGGGACACCTCAAGGGATGTCAGTGGTCCCTGGGCCTAAGGTTATATACTCCTGACTTAAAATGAATTAAGAAGTTTATCCTCCTACTAGGCCAGAGCAGTGGAGAACTGTGAACTTCAGATTCTCCATTAACACCAGCCTGTATGGCCCATAGTTAGGGACAATGATGGTCCAAAAACACCTTTCCCACAAAATAAAGTTGTGACATATTTCATGTAAAATAATGTTCTAGCTCAATTGCATTAAGCACTTGGCAAAATAAAATAGATCAGCATCAGGTTTCAAAATGACACCAGTCACTGTATCAGACCAAAGACCCCTCTCTCAAAAATATAAACTGTTTCTCATTGCACTTGGTTAGCAGTAAGTCTATTAAATATAATACAAGTTTCTGCCCAATCAATCTACTAATATTTGCAAGAACAGCATGTTTCAATATTACACAAGCTGTTTGTTGAGTGGGAGGAAACATGATAGCACATATCTTAAGATCAGATGATTGGCAGGAGTTTTCAGATATGAAGAAAGAGTAACTTACTTCCCTACTTCAAAAGGTAGAGTGATTTGCAGTGGTGCTCCTTTAAAGCTATGACGTTGTCCAAGAGCAAATTGAGCCTTCTGACCATTAACAACTACATTCTGTATTGTTAAATCCTTTGTGTCCAAGACCTGTTAAGCAAGTTCAAGAGCTATTATTGACACATATATGCCCTAATATGACTTTACAAAGTTCTTTTAGAATAAATGAAACAGACAAAGGGACCGAATATAACTTTTAATATATTAATGGACTCTAAAAATAACTAAATACAAAAAATTAAATAACTGAAAAATATATACAAACTCAGGAAGTATTTATTCCTTTATGCTAGAATTTACCTTATAAGTATACAAATGGATTACAGCAAAATTGTGCGGACTGAGATATTATTTTCTTTGTTCAATTTCCCCAACAGCCAAAGCCCTTGGGAGGACCTGCATCTTCAAATAAAGCTGGAAGAATTTTAATTCTTAAAATTTGACCCTGCAAGGCTTAGGAGCATCTCATGAAGAACAGAAGTCGCAGAAATAACCTCTGCTCCCTGCTTCTCTGGCCATGCATTTTTGTTAGATAATCATTTGAGTGTCTAGCTGAAGTACTTTGGAAAGAGAGGGAAGGAGTGCTGAGATCCAGTTCCTAACCTCAGAGGGGCAGCCAGTACAATTCTTTCTGAGCAGGCTTTGAAGCGGAATAGCAGTGCAGATTCCCAGCTCTGCATCATGGCTGTTTCCAACTTCCGATCTGGAAATCTTAAGTATCCTCTGTCTACCCTTGATGATGTTGCTCTCCACACAAGTAAAGCCATATAGCTTTGTAACATACTCATGTCTGACTTACAAAGACAGCTTTCCCTACACAGTAAGTGTGCATCTTATATGCATCTTTATACTTAATATGCAGAAGCAGAGCTACATAGTTACATAAGCAAAGTTACATTCTGGCCAATGTTCTATATCTTTGCAAAATTAGGAAAGTTTGTTATATAAAGGTGCTGTTTAATGTAAAAAAAAATAGCTCACTCTACATACTAGGAACTGTCCCTTAAGGAACTTACAAAGATTAGATTTTCTCAATATAATTGCACACTGCCAAAAGCTAAAATACTAATGAAACAAGAAAACTTTTGACACTTTCTTTTTGACCCAGATGCAACTTATTCTTGAGGCTAAGAAGTCAATTCTTGGGAAAAATGGTTGCTAAGCAGATGTTTATTTACCCAACAGTACTGAGTAAATCTTTGTGTTTATGCATTGTGGATGTTTTTCAGATTATATGGTCTTTATGGACTGTGTCCCAGAAAATGACAAGATATGGAAGTGATGTGCAAGTCTAGATACTGTTTAAAGAAAAACTTGGACCTCATCTTTGTTTACAGTTCAGAATAAGGTTTAGACAAAGATTTCTCAATTTTAATGATTTATTTGCATATCATATGGAGAATCACACAATCACTCCCCAAGTTATTGAACTTTGAGTCTTAGCAAGCACCTAGAATTTTGCTTTTGCAAGCAAGCTAATATCAGGAAGACAAAGTTCAACTGAAATATAATGAAGCTGTAATACTGCACCATTAATCATTTTAATAGCATTACCTACAGTACTAGAATTTCCATGTTATTATATTTTATGGCACACATTGCTCCCATGGGCACCACTCCTAATTACTGTTCCTCTACTAAGCCCATCATGATCAGCCTAAGAAACTGTTTCATTTTCCTAATAACATGTAAACCACAAACTAAGGACAGCCTTGGCACCCATTCAGTCCTATACACGTTTACTGAAAAATAAATGCCAGTGCGTTTCGGCTCAGGCAGAAGCTGCGGGGCCTCTCTTTTAGGCGAAGAAAAGCTTCCAAGTTTCCACCGCGCGGCACCCCGGCCCTGCGCAGGCGACGGACCTGGGTCGCTCATAGGCAACCCCACGCCGCCGGCTCCCCGCAGCGGGGCGGCACTCCTCCTCCGCTCCACAGCTAGGCCTCGACGCCCGGTAACAGCGGCGGGCTCTTCCCTGCCTCCCCCAGGCGCCTCATGCCCGCCAAGAGAAGGGGCAGCGTTACCAGGCAACGCAGCTGGTCGCGTTCCGACCTCACGGTGAGGGCCGCGGTGCCCCTCAGCGACCGGCTCCCGAAGTCTACGCGGCAGCGCAGGTGGAGGTGGTGGATGCGGCAGGCATCCGGGACAGCGAAGGAGCTCGGATCCTGCGCCTCAGCCATGGCTCTACTTCAAACTCACGCCTTCGCCGACTGAGGCAGCGCCTGCTGACAGAATCCTGAGCGCCAGGCCGGCTGGGCTCCGGACTCCACCCCGTCAGCGTGCTTGCAGAGGGATTCTGGGAAAAGCAGTTCTTCGGCAGGGAAAGAGCTAGAAACTCTGGTAAAATACTGCTACTCCCATGATTCACGGCAGAAGAGACCGTGCGGTGACTTCTGAGGGGATTGGGCAACTAACCTATTAACCTATTTACATACCGCGAATCCTCATCAGGAAGAATAGAAATTGATAGAGCAAGACCCCTGTAACGGTAAATCCTCGTTAGTATAGTGGTGAGTATCCCCGCCTGTCACGCGGGAGACCGGGGTTCGATTCCCCGACGGGGAGATACTTCGTGGTTTTATTATTTAAACCTGCAAAGAAAACACTAATAAGTTATCACAACCGGCAAAAGTCTACACCCACTGTTTGCAGATACAGTTATTTCCTCTTATAGAAACAGGGTCAATTCTTAGGTGTTCACAGCAACTGATAGTAATTTAAAGTTAAAAGAATACTTACTTCTTTTAAAATCCATTATTTATGAACCTATCTATGCAATGCCAGAAAGTGGGGCTGATTCAGACATGCATGTACACTATGATTGCAACCTTGGACTCAATTCATATTTCAGATTTATCAGTACAAACATTTTAGGACACAATCCTATGAGTGTTTAGACAGAAATAGTCCTACAATCCCCAGCATTCTCCAACCAAGAATGCTAGGAATTTTACTTTTTTTCTGTCTAAACATGCATGGGATTAAAAAGGTGCCACCCTGATTAGTCAAATAGGATTTTAAAAAAATTATCATTGTAAGGAAAATCAGTAGTGAATTGACTGACTGCAAAGTAATTTCCAAACTCTGTAAACCAATAACTGATGCCAACTGTTGACTTTGCCTGGGCTGACCACCATTGGAATGGTTCAGGAGGTTTGCATATAGAACTGTGGTTTTTCCCCTACAATAAATTGTTGGAGTTGGCCCATTCTCCTGTGCTGGTACCATTTCGACATTTCGGAAGTCACTGTAGGAAAAGACTGCCTGAACTGGCATCTGCTGCTGCTTCCTAAGTCCAGGCTGAAGGCAGATGTGGAAACCTGTTCTTTCTTCAATGTTACTAGCCAGTCAAAGGCATGCTTGCTCAGGAATATCAAAGTCAATAAATAAGAAATGATCCCAACACCTCTTTGCTCCCAAAATAGCTTGATCTACCAAATGAATGCTCCTTAAATTAACTTTGGAAACTATTTTTTAAAATGCTTTGCCCTCCTTGGCAATTGACAAAATAAGCATCATACTGAATCAGACCAAGAGCCGATCTCGTTCAGCATTCTGTTCTCGTGGTGGCCAACCAACTGCCCACAGGAAACCCACAAACAGGACTTGGGTGCAGCAACCCCTGCCCACCCATGTTTCCCGGTATTTGGTTGCTTGCTTAATCTTGTTTTCTCAACTGTAGGCTGCTCATTGAAAATGATGCAATTTCTGTGATAAAACTCACTAAATTTGAAACCCATCTCTTGTTTTTCAGGTTACAGTGCTGGCTCCTGAAATGGTTTCTCATTTTTATGTTCTTGTGATGCTTGTGTGATACCGAATCTGGCTGATCCTTTACATTAAAATACTGGTTTTTTAAAGTATATGCTATCCCAAGTTCAGGCAGATGTGCATATTTTAGGTGTTATCAGATTCCTATTTGTTTTTAAACATCTATCCCATTACCCCTGTGAAGGGATGTGGAAACTTAATGGTTGTTATTAGAGTGCCTAAGCCATGCAAAGCAGGTGCTGTGGTTGATTTCATTAGACTGTTTTTCCAGATGGGGTGACTGATACCCCTGATGTTCTTTCTTTTGCCCACTGAATCTTACACAGGGACCTATTTAAATATTCATTGGAAGGTACAAGACGACTCCACAATCATTGGGACTTTTTCTCTTTTTCATGCAGTTATGATTTCTCACATGGGTACTTCACACAACACTGTCATCCTGCATGGTAATAGAATTCTGCACACCCGTGTAAGAACAAAAGCATTCTTATGGTCCATCTACTCCAGCATTGTGTTCATGTGGTGACCAACCAGGTGTATGTGAGAAACCCAGAAGCTGGACATGAGTGCAGCTGTAGCCTCCTGTGGAATGGGTCCTACTCATGCCAAAGGGTACTGCATAGAATTTTTTTTAAAACCCTGCATGTGAGGTTGCACACACAGTGATGTGCACAGTATTAGACACCTGCTGGACCAATGACTGGGCAAGTCTGTTTTAATACTGGCAATCACCTGTTTGGAGGAGTGGAATCCAAGCTATCTTTTCCTGGCTTCCCCCTCTAAAAGCTGACAATCTTGACTGTTACCTGGTAAGTGGATGTGTGTTCACCATGCCCAAGCCATTTCAGGGTGCAAGGATCTGTGGATCAGGCCCTTGCTAATAACAACAAACCATATTGTTATGAATTCTCTCATGGCAGCTCAAATGTTAAAATTTGGGACTAATGGGTTTTTACCAGTAATTTTGTAAGACTAGGAAGAAGTGTTACAAAGGATACTTCTAAAAAAAACCCCTGAAATGACTTTTACTCAGTTTAGGAATAGAAAATAACTAGAGCCCAATCCTATGGCTACTAGGCAACATCTAGATATTATTTATTCAGAGTCCCAGTTCCAACTTTGGAAACTCACTCCAAGGTTGAAGCAGAGACTCTGAACTCCAAGTGCCCTGTTTCCAACTTTTCAGTGACATGGAAAGAACCACACTGGCCGCAGAGATGGACTTTTGTTGGCAAAGTTGGGGCAGAAAGAGAGAAGACAGGCATGGTTATCATGCGAAGTATCCTGGCAGCTCCTCAGCCACCTTTCCTCATGCTCTGGGACCAAATATTTATACAGTCAAAACTGGCTTTCTAAGTGTTTTGCCCATAATCTTCCAAGATCATTACAGATAGGTTCATTGGATTGCTCCGCCCATGCAATTCAGGTATCTTTTGAAATGAGTTACACTTGAATAATGATATGTTGCTATCTTTCTGTTTAAAATACAAATAACATCAGCAAACTTAGAGAAAAAAGGCAGTAAGAAAATAGATTGTGAAGCAAGATTTTTCCCATCTTATTCTTTAAAAAAATTATATTTAAGGGAATAAAATAAGGCAAACTTTCAGGGGGAATTGAAATGAATGCATTCATTTCCTTTCACTGAGCTCTGAAACCATAAAATCATATATCAAAAAATGAATGACGGGAAATCCAGTAAAATTTTAGTTTTTTATTACCAGAAATATCAAAGGAGTCAGAAACTGTCGCAAGGTCTTCTAACAGAGGAAAACATTAATTCCCCTTTTTTCATGATATTGGCACAAATCAGGAATTGCTCCAGTTAAAAGCAGGATCCTCTGTGCTACAATAAAGCTGCCTAGTTTGGGTTTAGCATCAAACCCACTGGACCGATTTTCTAAGACAGTTAAAAATTACTTCTGTGCTGCAACTAGAATCTAGTAACTTGAAAAGTACAGTCATAATGGCTACTTGCGCTGTAATTGAAAAATCATATGGGTAGACTGATAGAACTAAACCTTTAATGTTAATATATTCCTAGCTGCATTCTGCTAATTTATTTATTTATTCTGCTGCTTGTTTACCTTGTTACACAGGTGGCTTCAACCAGTTAAGCACTATTTTTAAGGCAGACAGATTTTCCTGCTTTTATTCCTATCACTTTCTTCACTGGTGAGATCTAGACGATGTGAACTGACTATCACAGGAAGTGAGAAGCACTGCATGGGTTGACGTGTTAGCTTAACTTCTGCAAGGTCTGAGCTCTTGTGCAAGCTTGTTAAAATAAACCCAATCAGCTTTGTGAAACACTAGTTGAATGTCAGTAAGCGACCTATTATTTGTATCCTAACTTTCAGTGAAACTCATTAGCAAGTGCTTAGAAGAAAAATAAAACTCATTTCTGCAGGAAATCAGTGTGAACTGATAATATGCATAAAAGTTAGTGTACCTAGAAGACTAAGTCCTTAGTACATACGGCCAGAAAGGGAGGCCATAGTCTAAGGCACCTTCCCTCATCCAGAGCCGCCCCCCCCCCCAGATGTGCTGGATTAGCATTCCCAGGACACATGGCACACACACAGTCCAACAGATGTGGAGAGGCCCTGGACAGGGAAGACTGGTCTAAGGATGTCACCTGAACAGCAGAATTTCCTGTCACTGCTGATTTTCTCATGGTTGTTTTTTCCAGCCACAGCTTGGGGAAATATTTGCATGTGGTCCAGGAGAGAGGAGAGCCATTTGGCAAGATGCACTTACTCATCACTGGTACATGCACAACAGCACTCTCACCCTTCCTTTTTGCAAGACTTTCTAACGATTTCTTTTGCAACACTGGGCTCCAGCTCCCCCGTCACCGCCCCCCGCCCACACACACACTCCTGAGCCATTCACTTCCATTACCTGAGAAGCGGGGTGTGTTTCTTCAACAAGCAAGCATTATGATGAAAATGCTGAGGCAATATTATTAATGTCTCTGTGGTGAATATCGCATGGAGCACTTATTCCCCAACACAACCCTGGTGTGTGCCTCCCCATAAAACAATGAAGATGTTTCCAGGAAGAAAGAATCTGGAGGTTTCTATCCAACAGCAACAGCGTAATGTATATGGACTTTGTACTGTGCCTTATTTATTAAAGTGACAGAAAATTGCGTGTGCTTCTTTGCTGGAGTGTATTAATTATCACAAACATTGGCGCCATTGAAGGAACAGAGCAAAACATTTCAGTGCTAATGTACTACAATGCAGACTTTCCAGCATCTGAAATATGTCTCAGGAAGTAGGTGGACTGGCAGGCAGACATTTAATTGCCACAGTGGAGCTGTTGTGCCAGACAGGCATCACGTGGCCTGCCTGTCAAACCAGATGCCAAAGACCATTTTAATTAAAAACTAGGGGCAACCCCCATCTCTGATGAAACTGTAAATGGATTCCAGAAAGAGTTCATAAGGCATAGAAAGTGGGATTCATTAAATCA